ATAACATAAATGACAGTCCAAACTTTGAAGATTAGAGTTACCTAACGGAGGTGGTGGAGGAAAGGTACAATTATCAGCAGTAGAATATGCTTGAGACTCTGAGACATCTCTCTCAGGCAGACCAATAGAATGTATGTGTTTTCCATCTTTTACAGCCCCAAACGCTTCACTTTCCAGAACCTGGAAATTACAAGTACAAAAATAGGAGACCTATCAGTTTCAAGGATAAAAACAACTTTTCTCAACTCAGCTCAGTAAAGCCAGTCTTGAGAGGAGGAGGAGTCAAAATGCAGATTTTGATATGGATGCGGGTAAGAAAAGAAAAGATAATATTAGAAATGAATACATTCGTGAAATGATTGAAATAACACCTATTAGTGAGAAAAATGAAATAAAATCAATTAAGATGATCCGTCCATGTGTAGTAAAAACCAACAATTGCACCAATAAAGAAGAGACATGGCCCATATTGAGGGTAATGGTAGGGGAAGGAAAAGACTAAATTAAGATAAAATTGTGCTAGTATGAAAAAGTATAATAGTGTGCGCTTCAACTGAAGGTCAAAATTTAGAATCATGTAGCCGACTCCAAGTGGTAGGGACAATGTTTTGGTTTGTTATTCTTAATAAACAGTTCCCCCCCCCCCCCCCCCCCCCCCCCACCACCAAAAAAATAAATAAATAAATAAAAACACACACACTTCAAACTGTCCCTTAGCCCCACACAATTTACAATAACCATTGCATCTCAGATTATCAATGAATATGAGAACGTTGACAAATTGTATGTAAGATTCTGTATAATCTTTGCAATCCAAGATTTAATAAAATTAAAAATAGTAATATGTTTATATAAATATATTACGGATTTACAGATTATATAACCATGAAACAGAAAAAGAAAAGCAACTCACTTTTTTCGCTCCCTGGTTTGACGCAAATTTAGTCGAACAAGATTCAACCCCATGCGTATTGATGCACTCTGGAGTGGCTGCCTGAGAAATTAAAAATTATTTATTTAATTAGAATAACCCACTAATTTGAGTATAGCATATTAATTCAATATTATGATATATGCTGATGTAGCTGCAGCATAAATTAGTAAAAAGCACTACCTTCTCACTAGTTAAGTTGACCTTTCTGTTAAAACTGAGAGAAACCTTTCTGTTTGGTTGCTTTTGTTTACGCAACGATCCATTCTTATGAAATGATCCAATACCGGCACCAGTGCAACATGCCTCTATGTTGTCATTGTCATCCAATGTGCTACGACCCCACGTGTACTCTACATATTTACGCAACTAGTTGAAAAGTAAATGAAAAACCATCAGTTTGATATATAACAACACTAGAGTTGAAATAAAAATGTTTCTTAAAGAAAATAGAATGGAATACAACTTGGTCTCTCAGATAAGAGAACTTACTTTGTCCCAGTGATCTTGAGCTTTTCGACGATTTCTAATCTGCCGCATAACACTATCCTCATTACGGAGCTTCTTGATTCTGTACTCACACTATAAACCAAGAAAGTAAAGAGAATCAAACATTGGGCAATTAAATATAGTTCTTTACTGCTTTTATTTGTCTCCAAACTGAATTATCTGGCTCACTAGAATGAACGAAGTTAATTTTGCTTCGTGCATTTCCAGAATATCTCCATTCTTTTTGCACCCTTTTCAATTATTCCCACACACACACACACAGTGAGGACTCACCAACATAACATCGGCCACATGAAAAGGTTAACACAGATGAAGAACACAACCTCAAAAGTCAGACTAATGACCTTCAATGTCCATGTAAAAATTAAACACTTCTGACACGCTTCAAGAGAAGGCTCAATAAAACGCTCTCCGCGAGTGTTATTGTTTTATATTTGAGAATTGAGCAGTGGTGAATCTATCGAACACTTCAGCTAGTATGACTGTATGAGTCAGAGAGCATTTAATTAGGTAAATTAGGATGCTCCATGTAACTTTTCATCTTTTTTTTATAGTTTTTCACGGTTTTGTTAAGGGAGAGAGAGCATTCGCCTTCATGGTTTTGGAGGTAAACGGATATGGATAAATTTAGGGAGAAAATATCGGTAACCTCATCTTCTTCAGCCATTGGTTACTAAGGAGTTCAAGGCCCATGTCTCTCTAGTGGCTAGGAATTGAAATAATGTTTGTTCCTCACCTTCAATTAAATCTCAAGAGTTCAAACAGGGAACCCAACTCCAGCCGACAGAGAAAAGCAAAACTCTGATGGTTGGGATCTCAGAAAACTAGGGCTCTGTAGGGATTAAAGCAATTTTAAGCAAACATAGCTATCAAATCCTCCTGATAACAAGTGGTATCTCCTCCTCCTTCCAAATGGAAGATTGAGGTCCGAGTCCCCGGTGGCACAACTGGGTGCTTGGGTGACTTAACTACCCGGAAAAAAAAACCTCCTTGCATATTGAAGCCTTAGATAAGCGTGTTGAGACTGGAAAGGAGGTGGGTCCTCTTTCAAGGGACCTAGGCATGCTGTGAATGGCTTCCCTTTTTTTTTTTCGATAAGTGGCATACTGTGAATGGCTTTAGAGAGATTTTAGTAGTGGGAAACTCTTCAATATTATACTCCTATGCAGAAGAGCAAAGCAAGAAGTTTGGTATTGGCACCGGATCATAGAAGACTTGGATCCAGCAAGAGAATTTCAGTCAATTTTCTTGTGTGCATCGGCCACTTAACAGCAAAGCCAAATATATAGCACACTAGGATAATTTGTTGGGGGAGGATTGTGGGGCATGTTCAAGCAAGGTTATTTCCCCATTTTGACTTTGGATCTTTCTAAAGGCATCTTGTGTTCTATGTGGAACCTTTATTAGGTTAAAGTTTCACTCGGTTCCAATTTCAAATTATTCATCAAAAATATTATTTTTTTATTTATTTACTTATTTATTTTTTTAAGGATCAAGTTTCTTCAACAACTCTCAACATAATCAAATTTGGTGCAGGCTTTGCATTTTTTCAGACCTAGTGCATGTACAATCTTGCATAGTTGCATATATGCTTAACCATATAGACCTTTTATATGGAATTTCACAACTTACCAAAAGGCAAAGAAGCAACAAAAAAGAAAATAGATGAAACTCAGAAGGGATAAGAATCATACTTGCACCAAGAAGTAGAAAAAAATCCCAATACTAATGCAATAAAGGCCACCAAGATCCGCAAGGAAGCTCACTGCATCCTTATAAAAAAGAATATAGCATCAGATTATTAACTAAAAATAGCCTTAGACATCAATAACTACGTTCGCTTGATATGAAGTCATTCTTGAACATGAAAAATGCAGGTGGGCATATGCTCAAACCTTACACTGAACTGTTAATCATGTGATGGATTAAACTGGAAATAAAAATTGAAAGTTTGGATGATTACCTTTTTCTTTTTTTTTTTTCTTTTTTTTTTTTTTTCTGTCAAAGAATCATCCATCTTCTTCATTTCACTATTTTTTCTCTACTAAAATAAGTTTCTTGTTGAAGAGACATTTGGGTTTTTTTCTGTCACTTAGTTACCTTAAATTTTACAGAGTGAAATGTCCAACTCAAACTTTCACTTTGGTCCAAGCATGTAAAGTCACTCATAAATCGAAATGATGCATGCACTAGATATGCAAAAAGCATCTAGAGAAAATCACCCCCACAAGTGCTGTGATTTTATTTTTATTTTTATTCTTTATGACAGCTGAATATGATGTAATGCAGTTATGACAGTGATAATGACAGTGATAGGAAGCTTTGATGACCCTTAATGTGAAACTTTGACCGCACTGCTGTGGCGCTTCACTCAATGATACTAGGTACCTAGAACACACAATACAGAAGAATTTATTCTGACAGTCTTTGGGTTTTAGTGTCCTTCGGATATAAAAAAAAAATTGAGCTCCCAAGACTTGAGAAAAACCCCAGCATAAGTTGAAAAATCTGACAAAGCACAAAAAAGAAAATGTATATATATATATATATAGATTTCTTTGGTATTTTATTCTGCGGTAAAGTATAAAATTTCACTATTTTTAGTGAACTCAAATGGGCAAATCCATTTTTATGCTACCACTGTTCTGTTATATGGTTCAATGTGGGTAAGGACACAAACTAATACGATGCAATATAAATAAGATGATACAATAAATTCTGGGGGAAAATATACGGATACAAAAAAAATGACGACAATTTATATATCATAGGTATGTGTGTGCGTATTTATGTATAAAAACATTAAACTAATTATTACTTGCCATAATATATATACACAACTATTATGAGAAACAATCACTTTTTATAAAATTATTAAATATTCTATCTTATAGTGTTGAAATTCACAAGAGAATATAAAGTATACATGCTTCTCTATACCAAAGTATGATAGGAAGTTTTCTTAACTTCAAGTACGTCAGACAGCTTTTTCTATTATCCTTTTTTTTTCCCCGAAATTCAAGCAAATGCATGCGCGCACACAATTTTTCCCTTAGTAGGGCTCAAACACTCAACCTCCCCTTTCAGGAGGAGAAATCATACCATCCGGACTATGCCCATTGGTAGGTCACATTATCACATAGCTTTCAGTGTTGGTATATGTTCTAGTTATCAAGATAATCCAAAAGGTCACATCTCAAGCCTGTGAAAAGAATTATAAGGTATGTAAATGGGAATCTAGATAACGGATTAAGAAACTTATTCAAAACATGGTACTATGTCTATATTCTGTGTAACAGTAGTGCTCTAAATATTTTCAAAAAATATGTTTTACACTCAAGAACAAAACATGTAGACATAAACACCACCTAGGAAGCACGGACACGCCTAAAAGGGCAAATAATCCGTTTCGAACGCTGACACGCGCTGGACACGCCAAAAAACGGGTCCGAATATTTTATATTTTTTTGAATATTCGGACACGCCGTGGACACACTACGGACACGCCATGGATACATGTCTGACACGCATGTCCCACTCTTTGGGGATTTTTAATGAAGTTTTAGAAACAGTGTTGAGTTGAAGAGTAAATATTAGGAGTTGTTTAACTACATAATTACTTAAAAATTTGTTGTTTCATAAAATATTTTTTTATTCAAACAATTAGATATTTATCTTATATTTTAGTCAAAGGTTCGAACTCTTGCACGATCATCTTTGACTCACTTTTTTTTTTTTTTTTTCATTATGAGATTGTAAAAAATAATATTACTCTTAATTTCTTAAAGTATAACATCATATATATAGAAAATATATTTCTTATTTGTCGTGTCCCCACTGTGTCTATGTCCTAATTTTTTAGGATTTGTCGTGTTGTGTCGTATCCGTGTCCCGTATCCGTTTTTGTGCTTCTTAGAACACCACTTTACTTGTGAACTCATATTACAAAATATAATAAGCTTAAATAAAGTTCACACTAAGGATCAGTTAGCAGATACATTGACAAAACCGTTAGACCTTACTTTGACTTAAATTTGTTTTCCTTAGTTTCATGCATATGTGGAATTTTCAGGTTGTTGAATAGCATAATTAAACTAAGATGACAACATAAAAGACACCTGTTTAATATGGAAAGAGGGATTGAAACAGTTGTTGAAGATGAGTTGATATCTAGTTGTTTACTCTTTTCCTTTAGTTTTTGACTCAATAAAGTTTTCTTGTATGCATGACCACGTTGATGAGTCACTATGTTGATTTGTTTTGGTACATGTGAATGTTATCTTGGTAATTATGGGAAATGAGATGATCATAGACATAGCAAAAGACCCAAAAAAAAAAAAGAAAAAAAAAAAGGGAAGAAAAAAATCAATAATAATACAAATTGTCAATACAAATTGTCTTAGGAAATAGCTGGTTGCACTCATGCGAAAGCCATCAAAGTTTGGTAAAAGAATAGGAGAGAAATTCAAAGGACATGGTTGAAAATAATACTTGAATTTCATTCATATTGGTTTGGTCTGCATACATGAATGGGATTCTTGATGCCTATAAAATTTTTTTTTTTTTTTTTAATTAGTAAGACAATTGTATAGAAGTGCTCAAAAGGGGAGCGAAGCCCAAGAGAACTACACAAGGCCAAATAGGGCCTCTAAACTTTCAAAGAGTCCAAAAAATCAACAATCTCCTCTAAAGATCTATAATTTCTCCCTACAACACAACAAAAAAGAGTGGAGAAAATAGAGAACTTAAGCAAAGAAATAGGATGCCTATAATTATTTAGTAGCATGAACATTGTTGGGATTCAAATCAATATGATTGATGAATTACTTCACTTTAATACACAAGGAAACCCAATAATATGTTAAGGCCTTCTTCAATGATAAAACTAGATGCCTTATTTTGTATTATTTCTTGGAGTCGTGTTGTTATCCAAGTGTTACTATATTATTTAGTGATGATAAAGTTCTCTTAATGCATGATAATTAAGTTTTTATATATCTTTTCACTTAAAGTTCAAAAATACAAAAATATATTTTCAGTTTAAATATTTTGTTCTCTTTTTTTTTTTTTTTTTTTTTTGTTTGTGTACCTCTCCTAAATATTACTCTATCTTTTTGTTAATCCTGTAACGAAAAGAGGAAAGTATGTAGAGATATGGGATGCCATTTTGAGGGAGAGAGATGGGTTATGTTTGAGCCTAATATGATATGGTAAATCTAGGATATACATGATTGTGATGTTGTGGCCCGAAATTTGTTTCGAACCGGAATTTTTTTTGAGCCGTTTACTCTTGCGATTCGTGGACCCTGTTTAGAACTCTCTTGTATCTCAATACATAAGGGCGTTTAGGGTTTGGAGTGGGTATGAGAAAACACTGTAAATCACAGGAAAGATAGAGAGAGAGCGCGCTGGGGTTTGAGGGCTGAAACTTGTAATCTCATATTTTTTGCATAGTAAAATATTTCGCGTGATTTTTACCATGGACGTAGGCTTTGCTGAACCACATAAATCTTTGTGTTCTTCACGTGTGGCGTTTTTACTTTTCTGTCGTGATACTTGATTGCGATCTTGGTTAGCAGTGTTTGTCATAACAATAATTGTGTTTTATTGCATTGCATATCATGTTTTTATCTTTATTAGGCAGTATTATGCTTGGGTGTGTTTGTTGTGATTTGCAGATAATAGAAAAGCATAATCTAAAATTGATCAAGATCAAGTTGATCGACTATATAATTGAGTCTTCAATTTCTTTTCATGTACTTGTAAAGGTGATTGGGTTTTTCAATTGGTCTTAATTAATCCCACAGAGGCTACTGAGAAATCCCAACTAGTTAAGGACCATAATGCCCTGTCCTTCCTGTGAGGATTAGGCTTTAGATGTTGAGGGATGGCCTGAATAAGATTTATCAGGTCACCTGGGAAACACTGAGGCTAGCTCTAATCACCATGGACAAAAAGCTCAGCAACCAAAACCTATTTCTGCAGACCTAAGTCTTCAATTGACCTTGCATCTTCTGAATGAGTTAAAGGTCCATTGGGCAGCCATGACTCAGGACACATTGAAGTGGCAACCTCATTCCCAATAAAAATGCTTTCTTTATCTTCTAGCATTGTTACTTAACTTCAGGATCGTCTTCCAACACAAGGAAGAGTTACCAGATGGCCTGAATAACTTTCTCTGGAAATAAAATTTAGTGGAGGATAAGCAACAAAAGTCCCGATTAACAATGTCATATGTGCACTAGAATGTCCTTGTCCTAAACTAGTTGAGATTTCTCAATAGCCCTCTATGTGGGTTCAATTACTCCATGGGAAATCCATGCTTCCCAGTAAATGACTAAAAGGTCATTGTTTGATGCAATGGTAGAAGTTCATGTCATCAAGTGTAAAAGTACAGTTTTATATGCAATTACAAGAACTTAGTACATATAATACCAAAGGTTGAGACGGTACCAAGGTATTCTTCCTAATATCATCAATTGACATGTAATCGCCTCAGTCATAGATAATGAAATGTCTGTTCGCTAGCTTCGTTTTGATAAATGACGTAATTTTGCATGTACAAACGTGCAATACAAACTACTTATAGCACCCATGATAAGATGCATACAATACCCAGAATAAATATAAACAAATCAACCACATATTGACATCATATAATAGAAAATTAGTCGAAGAATGAAAAATGTACAAGAAGTCAAAAAGTTACTCACCGGGCCCCAAAATACTTTGATTGTCAATCTCAATAATATAGGCAGAGAGAAAATTGAGATATAATGTGGTATTGACTATTCCATTGTTGGATCTTTGAAGGGAGGCTTGGAGCTCACCAATCTCACTAAAAGATGAGCCCGGATGAAACTCTTGAAACAAAGGTTGGATGAGCTTTAGATCATGTAAATTACGGTAAATTCTGGGAAATAAATTATATTTTAATATATTTGGGTCCGGCCCTCTGAATGTAATTGGTCTATCATTTTGATTGCTTCCATTCTTCAATATTCCACTGACAGAGCTTAAATGTTTTCGATTGGCATGGTTCTTTGCAGTGAGGTTGAACTGAAATCCAACAGCAGTTGCAGGATCATTTGGAAGATCAACAAATTGCCAAGAAATATAGGCATAGTCTCGAATGAGCTGACAATTGTTGCACTTAAAACTTATGGTTGGCCCCTTGGTAGTATTCTGACATGAAAAGTTAGCAAAGGTTGACAGAGGAGCAACTCTACGGTCAATGAAGCCTGCATCCCCAGTAACTAATGTACCAAGACCCCTTAAATGTGAACAGCTCATACTAGAAATGGTGGTTATATTAAATTCCATGTCATTCATGAAGGAGGCTAAATCAGGTCCATTTGTTGCCCTCACATTATGCACCTCAACGTTTCTCTTTGATAAAATTTGGTATAGCAACCTGCCAAAAAAAATGAAGAGCAAAACAGAATCAATTCATATTGATAGTTTAGACCTAATAGAAACAACCCAATGCATAGGTATCATGAAACTGCCACTGAGGCATTGTATAATGCAGGAAAATCGTGCTATCAGATACTTACGCAGCAAATAAACCAATAAAAAGTATCCAACTTGCTATTGAGAAAGTTCCACCAAGTTCTGTTTTCCGCTTCATAACTACCTTCTGGTCCTCCTACAAAATAACATGGCACCAGTAAGATACATCAAATTTAAGATATCCAGATGTGTTAAAAGCTATTCTTCTAATATGGAAAAAATAATAATAAATAAATAAATAAAGAGCACCCTTGCAATATACAAATTCAAGATGGTGTCATGAAATGGTGATCAGAATTGATAATTATCAGAGGCCACTTATCTTAACATGACAGTTCAAAATAAGGTTTAACCACCACCAGCAACAACAACAAACAAACAAAAACTTTTTTCCAAGTACTTGGGTTCGGCTACATGAATACTATTTTCCCATTCCGCATGAATCCAATTTTTCCATTTCGATCTATCTAAGACCATAACCTCAGTCAATTCACATGTTATTACATCCTTCCTTAGTAACTCTATACACATTAACCTTGATCTTCCCCTTCTCCTAGCAATACCCTCAATATGGACCACGTCACTCTTCCTAAATTTTTTTCTTTCCAAAAGGCAAGAATTATCATTTCAGAAAGATTAGTGGGTTAGACCCTTTACATCAGCAATAAAACTCTCTCCAATACAAATTGGAATGTCAAAAATGAAAGTCTCTCCGCTTTACCCTTCAATGCCCAACAAGCTAAATTGTGGGCAACAACATTAGCTTCACAGGGCACAGAGCAAACTGAGAAACCAACATACACCTTAATCCAACCTGTAATATCCTCAACAACCGTAGCAATAGAAGTTGGCACAACAAGCTGCGTGTTCACTGCCTTAGCCACAACCTCTGCATCAGCTTCAAAAATAACCTTTTCCCAGTCCCAACCCATAACATAGCCGACAGCCTTGCGAAGGACTAAAGCATCAGCCAGAGTAGGATCGCCGACTAGAAAAAAGAAAGAAAAAAAAGCCACACAACACTAGGGATGTCAACGGGACGGGGCACCCTTTTCCCAAACCCGTCAAACCAATAATTTTTTCCAAACCCGATTCCGCATCGGACTCGGGGTGGGTTCAGGACTTCAGGGTGCCCCGATATACATATTTTTTAAGAAAAATAATTCAAACATGAATAAATTTAAGATAAGTATTGTAAACTTTTTGTAGTGTAGTCAAATATTTAACAATTATACAAACAAAAAAGTTGTTAAAATTTAAAATTATCATAACAAATAAAGGAAAAAGAAGAATTATAGCTAATAGAAGAATATTTATTTATATATTAATTATTGATCAGGGCGGATTCACGACTTTTCAGGTTTTTAACTCTTCCCAAACCCGTCCCTAACCCGATTAGGATGATCCCAAATTCATCCCAATAGGCAGGACGGGCGGGGCCCTGACGGGGCAGGTTATATTGACATCCCTATTCAACATTGTTCCCTCTTCGTCTCTAACCACCATAGCACCTCCAGCCTCCCGTGAATAAGCACAGTACGCAGCATCCACATTAACCTTAACAAAACCACTTGGAGGAGCAATCATCAGATGTGCTAGAAAATGATTGATGAACAGAACACTAAAGACCCCAAAGAGACTGTAGCATACTCTCAAAATTCAGTTTCAGCAGAAGATACTAACCCTAGTTCACTCCACCACTTACCTTGGAATATCCAATCATTCCTTGCTTTCCAAAGCTTCCAGCAGATACAAGCAGCCAATCCCTTCAACACCTATCAGCACACTTATTCCACAAATCAACCGGGGATCTCCACCATGAGTCCCACTGGCCATGAGGAACATACACATTCGCCAACCTTAAAGAAGATAATTTCCAAGCATTTATAGCTTTGCTACATTGACCCAAAATATGCACAACAGACTCAGGTCCCACTCCACAAACTGGGCATAAAATACGAACAACGTTTCTCTTTTTAAGACCTTCCATAAAAGCGACTTTATCATGCAAACATCTCCACAAGAAGTGCTTCGCCTTTGGTTTAACTCTCAACTTCCACAATTCAGCCCACTGATTGTTTCTCTCTCTTAAATACCACTACATTCAGCCCTCTCAACTGACACAGCCATCTGATCATTTTCCTTGAGCCTGAGAGCCACTTGATTTGCAGATTTAACATTAAAACTACCATCCTTTGAAAAAATCCAGCATTGGCGACCAGCTCTATTAGAAAAAACTGACAGGTATTTGAAGAATTCTACTCCAATCCTTCTCAACAAAATGATTTTTAACCAGCCCTTCATCCCACTTCCTGAGTTGAGGATCAATCAAATCAACAACTCTAAAAATAGGAGATTGAGAAGGAATAGGACTAATAGGAGTAACAAGCCTTGGGAGGGAATCCACCTGTCCTCCCAACAGTACACCCTAGTCCCATTCCCAACTTTCCAGAAGATTCTATTTTTTACAATATGTCTAGCTGCCAAAAAACTCCTTGTTATGATCGGCATTCCCGTCCCACGTACTCTGAGATCAGCTTATCAATATTGTCGCACACCCATTTAGACAATTTAAAGCATGCCATAGAATAAGCGGGAATGGCTTGCAAAACACTCTTAATCAAAACTTCCCTGCCTCCTGTAGATAACAGATTCCTCTTCCACCCCTGAATTCTGCTCTTAATTTTCTTCTCAATGTAACCAAACACTTTCCTTTATTTTGACCAATAACAGATGGTAACCCCAAGTAATTCGCAGTCATACCATCAGAATTTATAACCAGCAGAGAAACCAACTCATTCCTTACTTCAGATGGAGTATTCTAACTGAAAAACAAGGCTGACGTTTCCAAATTAATAGCTTGACCTGATGCATTTTCATAATCTTTTAGAATATTAATGAGTGTTTGAACTTCAACAGTATTTTCCCTACAAAACAGAAAGCTATCGTCAGCAAAAATAAGTGGGACACATTAGGAGCTCGCCTGCATATCTGCACTCCAGGGATAAGGCCAGATGCCAAAGTTGAAGACAAAGCATGGGACAACCCTTCTGCACATAGAAGAAACAAGTAAGGGTATAATGGATCCCCTTGCCTCAAGCCACGAGAAGGAGTTATAAAACGGCAACCATTTTACGCAACATCGCAATATCTGACAGTAGAGATGCACGGCCCAGATCAACCTGCCCCAGTGCTCAGAAAAGCCCATTTCAATCATCACCGCCCCTAAATACTCCCACACCACCCTATCATAAGCTTTCACGTGTCCAAACCATCTTAGTCGATTTTATTTCATTTTATCTCCAATTGGTGCTACTTCAAGCATCAATCTTTCTCAAAATCAAAAGGTGCAACAAACTCTTCTTGATTGATTGATCAGCACACACCGAATGTGTTCAACTAAAACAATATCATCAGCAAATAACATACCATGGAATCCCATCTTGAACATGCCTTTTCCGCTCATAACTATGGCAAAAAGGTATGGGCTTTGCTAAGCCCACAGTAATTGAAAATTAACTTGTTTCCCCACAGTCATTCTAGTTATAGTCACACATTCATCATACATGTCCGTTATTGTGTCAATATATCCCTTTGTGGCTCATTTATTTTCTATTACCCTCCATATTAGATCTCTAGAGACCATGTCACGGAATTTTTCCTCTTCTCTCTATATCTTTCTATTTAGGCTCCTCGGTAAGTAAATAGCCTCCATCATTTACCTCCCCAGCATGAATCCAAACTGTTTTTCTGACACTTCAATCTTCTGTCTTAATTGTTGTTCAATCACTCTCTCCCAAAGTTTCATAGTATTACTCATTAATTTAGTATCACAATCATTCAGGTGAAAAAAAGAATCACAATAATTATTACAACTTTGTATGTTCCCTTTATTTATATAAATATATATATATGTATATATATGTATGTATGTATGTATTAAAATACTTTTGCTTCACTCATAAGGCATTCTCTTACTTGTTATTATCTTATTGAACAATTTTGTTAGCCAACATAAGCCATCCTCCCCTAAACACTTCCAAACCTTAATAGAAACGCCATCTAGCTCCAAAGTCCTCCTTGATTTCATCTTCCTTGATGCATTTTTAACCTCACACTCCTTAACCCTACAAAAAAATATGATATATCCCTAAGATTACTGTATTCTTCTAAGCCTCAACTTCCTAGATGATTTTCATTTAACAATTTCTCAAGACAGATTTTCATCTTTCTTTAATTTCATCATCTTTTACTAAAACCCTTAAATATTTACTCTAAATGTATTTAGTATGGCTAAATCTCTAGTTTTCCTCTCCCTTAGTTTAGCAAGTTTATATATATTCTTCTTCCCATCTTTTGTGCCTAATTTGGAACAAAGATCATCATATGCTCTATATTTTGCTTCACTTACTACTTAAGCTTCCTTATTGACATTTTTGTATTTTTCAAATGTTTCTCAATTTCTAATTTTTTGCCAAGCTTTATAGTATTCCGTTTTATTTTTACAATGTGTAGGACTTATTCATCCCACCACCAAATTTTCTTGGATAATGGTTTTGTTCCTTTTAATTCTCCTGAACATCTTTTGCTACTCTTTTAACATATGCAGTCATCTTATTCCACTTTAAATTTGTTTCATCTTTTGCAGTCTAGCAATTAAAGTTAAATTTAACTGCCACCAAAAATCATATACATGTCTTGCAAGAGAAAAATTAAAAATGCATAGAATAAGAAGACTTCGTGTCAGTTGACTTGAACTATCCAAAAGAATAAAAATAGAAGAGCCCCAACTTCACATATATTGACTCAAGACTTGCAAGAGCAATATTGCAACAATAGGTAATAGCATTTTTCTTCTAGCTCTGATCAATTAAAGAGATCAGTTGATGTCTCACTCCTTTCCTAGACTTTACAGTATTGCAGCCAATAAGCATGTCTACGTGATTGATTGTTATCAACTTGATAACAATGGAGTTACGTGGGATGTGCGTTAAAGGCGCCCCTTTCAGGATTGGGAAATGGAGGAAGCTTGTGTTTTTTTGGATACGTTGTATAGGCAGAAGGATATTGGCAGAGGGTGTGATGATATTTGGTGGGTTCCTTTAGCTCATGGTAGGTATGGTGTCCGATCCATGTTCTTGTGTTTGTCCAATTTCGTTGGTCACGAGTTCCCTTGGAAGTCTGTTTGGCGTTCTAAAGCTCCTTTTCGAATCGCATTCTTCGTTTGGACTGCCACATTGGGAAAGATTTTGACATTGGACAATATGAGAAAGAGAGGCAACATTATGTAAAGCAGATAGTGAATCCGTGGATCATATTCTTTTGCATTGTCCTGTGGTGTATGATTGTTGGAGTTTTATTTTTTGCATGTTTGGCCTTTTTTGGGTAATGCCTAAGCACTCCTCACAATTGATTAACGCTTGGAGAAGTTGTCCTGTTAAAGAACAAGCTCGTGATTATTGGAGGATTGTTCCACATTGTGTCTGGTGGTGTTTGTGGCGTGAGAGAAATAACAGATCATTTGAATGAAAAGAATCGTCTTTAGCTAATTTAAAAATTCATATTCTTCGTTCTTTGTTCTATTATGTAAGAGGAAATGCATGCTCCTCGATTGATGATTTCTTTGATCTTATGGATACTATTGGTCCTTAGATCTTTTTTCTTCTTGTATTAGAGACGCGTTCCCCTTTTGAACGTTTTTCTAATATATTTTTACTTATCAAAAAAAAAAAATTTGGCAAAATTTTGCAGAAAGTGGCGGCTGAAACTAAAACCTACTTCCTTGCGCTTTTCAGCCCAAGCTTTAACCGCTGCACCAGGTAAGGATGTGGCGCAGTTTAAAGTTTAGCCGTAGTGCTATTTAAGGATAAAATCTCTTTCTTTTGTCCCTTTTACTTGGATGTCTGGCATAGAATACACTTTTGTTTCCACAATTGTGTGTTCAATTATCACCAATGTCAAATACTTGATATATATTGGATGTGATTTGTGATACCTTTGCGCCCACATCTTTGATTTTCTTTCTATGGGCTTTTGTTCATGAGACCGTAAAAGGGTACAAATGGAAGATAACAATTCTAAAAGAATCTCCAAAATCAGACAGTTCTAGAATAAGTTGACAAAAGACATGCGCATTAGAACATTACTAGATCATAAATCAGAGAATGCCCATTTTGACTGGTGTCCATATAATTGAGGTTTCTTGTCTTCCTTCCTTTGATAAGTAATGGAACAATTGTACAAAGTATTAATATTGAGAAAGTAAAATAAAACGTGTATTGAGCGAGCATGCAGGTGTGCGCGTGTGCAAAATGAAATTAAGGAGCTTTTACTTTCATATCCAAGAGCAAGGTTTCTAGATCACCATTGCCTCAAAATATCTGAATATAAAGAAAAGGGGGAGGGAGGATGTGGGGGGCACATAATCTGCCTTCAAAAATCATTCTTTCTGAATGTAATATAACCCTCCAGGTCCTGGAAAGAGAACAGTTATTGCAGGACAGCACTTAACAACTAAAATAAATTATTTCTACCACTTGTTATATGATGGCTAAGGTCGACAGAGAGCTTGTCGGATTTAGGGTTTAAGATGGTGGAAGAGAAGTTGTAAGCAGATAAAGAGGAAAAGGTTAGGATATGCCTAACATTTTTTTTTTTTTTTTTTTGATAAGTAAAATTGTATTAGAAAGCGTTCAAAAGGGGAATGTGTCCCAAGACCTACACAAAAACCAAAACCAAAAAGAGAAGAACCCAAAAAGTCCACGATTTCATCTAAAGATATACAATTTCTCCCCATGACCCAACTAAAAAGAGAACAAATAATAGAAAACTTCAACGCCCCAATGGAGGATTCCTCCCCATCAAAAACTCATAGAGGGCAGTTTCAAAGGCACTGAAACTCGTTGTACTCGTTCTCATTAATACTGAATCAGTTCGTCCATGGATTTTCCAAATTCTAGTGTCATCACTCTTACTCTTGCTATTAATTTTTCCTGTGTGTTTCGACTTGTTCAATTGCTAGTTAATTTAATTAAATATGGTTAAAAAAATAAAAACAAGAAAAAACAGTGAACTAGACATATTTACCCCCAATGGAAGTCAAATGTCACAACAACAATAAGACTAGGGAGGTGGCAAAAGTTTGTAAACAATGCATTAGATCACAACAAAATCAACATAATATCTACATTACTATTAGAGCTCTAGCACAAATATATATCATCAAATGCACAAAGAGTCTAAGCATTCAATCCAAGTCTCCTTTAATATGGGTTCTGAAAGAAGTATATACTAATATACATATATATGCATGAGAGAGAGAAATACATGTAATTCTCATATCAACATTACTCTTAGAGCATGTAATTCTCATATCAACATTACTCTTAGAGCTCTAGCCCCAATTCAATATAAAACCCATCAAATAGAGAAAGAATCTAAACATTAAATTCAAGTCTTTTTAAGTGTGTATGAGTGCTATATCAACATTACTAATTCAACTTCAATATAAAAACCCAACAAATAGACAAAGAATCTAAACATTCAATTCAAGTTCTTATACATGTGTATGTATATACATATAAGAGAGATAGGAGTATTTACAAGCCAATGGCGGGTGGCAAAAGCAATATCCAAGCGGCTAATCCACCAGCGGATCCGGAACCAGATGTTGCGACCATCACCGAGTTTTCCGAATCGAACGAAGAAGCAGAAGAAAAGCCAAGATAGTAGCATCACGAACGTGGCCTCGAGGAACACGGCCTGCGATTGGGTGAACTTCTTAATCGAATCGAAGGAGAAGATGGTTTGGGGCAAGTTCAAGGAGTAGTCTATGCCCGAATTCAACTCCACCTCGTCGCCAAAGACTTGGAACAGAGCGCAGCTCTTGGCTGTGGCGTTGTAGACATACCCTGGATTGCAGGCGCAGAGAGTGGTGTTGTAGCGGAAGGAGTTTGGGGGACATCCCGGAGGAGAAGACATTGGGTTAGAGAGAAAGAGAATGTGGTTTTAGAGAGAGCGAGAGGAGGGGGTAGGGGGGTGATTGGGATCTTGGTTAGCTAAGTCTGGGGTTTGTGATTTGCTTCGTTGGGTGTCAGTGGGGAGAGAGAAGAAAGGAATTTGATTCATATACTATATATTTAGAGAGAGGGGGAGAGATGAATCAGGTGATTGGCAACCTGGATGCTTCGACGCGTTTTGTTAGAAGCTGGAACCTTTGAGTTCTTTATTCAGTCTTCTTTGGTTGGGCCCCGTTTGGAGGAGAGAGAAAAGGGAGATGCAACTTATGTTAGAAAGACGGAGATGAACTGTATACATCACACACAGTACTCCAGCTATGCAAAATCCATTGATGTAACCGCTGTGGACATGAAAATTTAAAATATTAATATTAATAATATAATACCAATAATTACACTTATCTTCTGAAGATCAAATAATCTTATTATATAAAAGAGTAATTTGCACTCATACCTTTTCAATAAAGGCACGTGAATATAATTCAGGAGGGTGTGGTTCAATTGCTCCCTAAATTTGTAATTTTGAATAATAACATTCTAATCATGATAAAAGTATATAATTATTCTTTGACGTCTGAATTGACCCATTTAAATCATAAAAATACAATACTAACATTTTACAAGTCCTTTGATTTGACCAAAATGACCTTGGCAAAAAAAAAAACTCCCCCATGGCTCTCAAATAATTTTTTTGCAAAACCTTATTATAGTATTAAATTAAAATTATTTATGGTAATGTTTTACATAAAAATTAAAGTTTGACCCCTCAAATTTTTTGTAACACTCTATTTATGATACTAAATTATAGATACTAATAGTTGTTTTCTATATAAAAATTAAAATTAGTAATCCTTATAACAACATACTATATTTACACACACATATATTCCCACACGTTTATTTGTTATGAATTAGAAAGAAAAAATATATATTCACTTGACAACAACAATGATTCAATCGACAACTTTTCTCTTCAATTTTATTGCATATTATTTATAGACACATTTTAACAATACACATTAAACTTGCAAAAAAAAAATTTCTTACAATGATTCTATGATATTTTAAAATTTTAATTTTACATTTTTAGTTTGGCCCTATCAATTAAAAATTCCTGGAACAGTAGTGGAGTTTGAATTTTTTTTTTTTTTTTTTTTTTTTTTTTTTTGCTAAGGGTCATTTTGGTCAAATAAAAGGACCTATAAAGGTTAATATTGTACTTTAATAATTTAAATAAGTCAATTAAGAAGTTAAAGGGCAATTAGGTACTCTTATTATGGTTGGGGTGGTGTTGTTCAAGTTTGCAAACTTGAAGGGGCAATTGGATTACACTCTCCTAAGTTGTATCTACCTTATCCTTATTGCAAACCTGAGGGGGTATACGTGCAAATTACCTTATATAAAAATTCACCAAGACAATTGTAACTTTTTTTTTTTTAATTAATAAAAATAAATGTCGGTTATGCTTTTCATTCCTAAATTTATTAACACCAAATTTGTGTGTACATATATATATTTTTTAATTGACAAGAAATTCACACACTCATTTTGCCATTTTAAGAAGACAAACTATCACTGTCCAGTTTAAGAGATAGAAGAGATACCACTAGACTACGAGACCCTTGATAAATGTGTACATATATTGTGCTATTAATTCAAATTCTTTTTGGACTTTACTCAACAATAGTTCATGTTGTTCATTTCTAATATATTGCAATGGGTTATATTCATTTTCTTCGCTTTGATCCACCCGTGCTTTGCTTTTGTTCAGGTAAATCTTTTAAGTTTTGGCTAGATTTGCTCATAATTGCCTTGTTTCGGGCTAAGTATGGATGTATCTGTTTTCTCTCTGGCTAGATCTCTAATTTATGTCGGTTTTGTTTTTCTCGACTTGATCTGATCTTTTCTTTTTGATTTAATCTTGTGCGGGTTTTTGGTGGTCTTCTTCGGGCGCCTTGTGGTTGTAACTTTGGAGCTGTTACCTTGATGATAGCCAGCCCTTTAGACCACTCATGTTGTTGCGCTTCTCTCTTGGTGGGTTCCGTTACAGAACTTTGGCTCTCTTTCTCAACAATTCTAGAACATGTTCAACATTTTTTCTTATTTTGCTTCAAGATATGTATTTTTTTTTTTTTTTTTGTTGGCATGGCTTTTGCCTCCATACGGCCATTAATTACTTGGCCTTTGCACCTTTGCAATAATAAAATAATAATAATAATAATAATGATGGGCTATTAGTAGGTATATATATACTAATATATGGTGCAGAAGCCCTCATTCGGATTACAAATCTTAATCCAATGGAGTTTATCAGTGTGTGAATATAGAAGGAGATAATAAGTCTGTTATGATTCTTCATCCTGCAGAAGAGCCTTCATTAGTTATGGGGTTGAAAGATGTCTTAATCATGTTCAAATCCACAAAGATGGTATGGGCTTTAGGTTGGTTTGGGTTCCTTGGAAGTGAAACTCTACCCCTCAGAAGTGAGCAAAAAGACTCAAAGTGTGAGAGCACCATATTGAATTTAAAGTATGGCCCGAGAAAGTCTACAATACTTTGGACTACCGTATTCATACTCCTAAGACGTAACAATTGCTGGATCATCCATTAGATGGGTCCTACTACCACATCCAACATACGAGAGCCTCGAGGGTATGGTATCCTTGGGTATTGTAGAATTTTTCGGCCTTCATGACTAGTTAAGGTTATTTTCAGTGATTTTCCCTATGATCAATAAATAATAATATTTATTTATTAGATGTTTATTTATTTGGAATTCTTTTCCAACTTTGCACAACAAGAGCTTAGTGGTTTCTTGTGTTTGTTTAGTTTCCCACTCTACCCAACAAGAGCTTAGTAAAGATTTTCTTGTGTTAGTTGTGAAAGTGAGTTAGTGGTGGGTGTTCACACAATTTGTTTGATTTTGATTAACTCTTAGGCTGTGTTTGTTTGGACGTAAAATATTTTTTTATTTTTTAGTGTTTGATTGTCATAAAATATTTATGAATAAAAAAATATTAAAATTTAATAAAAATAATTTATCCATCAATTTTTGGTAAGTTATTTTACATGCCTCGCTCGATGGACTCGACTTCAACGTAGACCTTTGCCAAAAATCGAAAAAATAAAAATAAAAAAATATTTTACATGAAAAAAAAAAAAAAAAAAAAAATTCAAAAAGAATATTTTACATCAAAATAAACGGAATCTTATTTTCTTATGCTATGTTGGGAGTACCAAATTAAGATTAAAAAAAAAAATGAATTTAAAATTTGAACTAATTTTTTTTCCACTTTTATGAAGAGATTTTAGTTTAAAGTTTAAACTAATTTTTTTTCCAATTTTAAGAAGCGTCAATAGTGCTCTGTACAGTTTTCAATTGAAAGATTTGAACGCTTTAAATAGTTGGCGGCCAACAATACTAGGAATCAAAATAAATTGATCAAACATGACTAAAAGTGAAATTTAAAATATACATTAAAACTTTTTTGTTGACTAACTAAGCAAAATTATCATTTTCTTAAATACAAAGTGTTTTAAGTGGCACAGTTGTTTGATAGTTGTTAAGGGGTTGAGTCCTCCTCCACATCCATCAAAAGCCCTAATTATCTCACACAATAAAAGATAAAATTCATGACTTTATACTCGGACAAACATTTAACATAGAACAACAGTGCAAGTAATTAGTTTTTTTATTTTATTTTATTTTAAGAAAATAGATTTGGTTATTAAATCCAATTGCATCTGTAATTAGATTTTTTAAAAAATAATAATAATAATAATTTGCGACTTCTAAAACATTGAAATACTTGAATACCCCAATGCCACCAAAATCAGTTTTTCAGGCACTAGAACACTCTCATTGAAAATTTGTATATATCATATCATATAAAAAGCAAAATTTATTCATGGTCAAGTTTATTACAGATACAAATCAATTACAATATATAGAAAGTTGAGATGAAAAGAATGAAAAAAAATTAATTTCATTTAAGGAATAGTGGGAGTCAGTAATCTCTTCTCCTACTGCTAACAAGATCACTTACAAAATTGTCCTCCTCCTTTTCACATTGTTCCAAGTACTCATTATAAGCAGGATTGTAAGCAGCGGCCAAGCGCAAATATTTCGCAGCCTCAACTTTACGACCTTCGCCATACAAAGCACTGAAAAGCCAAGTTATCACATTCAAATGTTTTTCAACCAAACGAAATAAAGAATCCAATATCGATTTAATGATAAGAAGAAATGTTTAAGGAAACGACAAATTCCATGGGGAAGATGAACATGCCAAGTAGAAATTTTTATCAACCCGACACAATTAATTGCTCAAGTTCATACCTTGAAAGCATCAGCAACCCATCGTAATAATGAGCTTTGCTCTTTGAATCCTCCGGCTCTTTCAGATGTGCTATTCTTTGTAGGTGTATAATTCCATCTGCAACTTTTCCCTGCCACAAAAAGGTAGCAAAAATAACATTGAAAAGCTTAACAGTGACAAGCATTCCAGCAATAATTAGTTATTGGTCCAAATGTTTGCTGATCCAACTCACGAACTCATGGGCACCCCGAGGGTAGCTCATAAAGCTAAAGCCCAGAACTCCAGGAGGCATAAAAATATGTTCAAGATACCACAAGAAACTTAATTAAAGCGGCCGAGATAATAGATCAGGAAATGGCTAATTAGAAGACTGATCAGAAGAAAACTCGCAACAGCATTTTCCAATGCCAAGGTACTCCGTTTGCATTTCCAAGAGCATATTATATTAGAAACCAATTTTCACATTCCCCTTTGAGAAATAAGTCCCTTCCAAACTTTGGATTCTATTTTGAAGTGGAATTGCAACAAAGTTACTGAATTTACCTGCCGTACATAGGCAGAACCGGCCCACTGAGATGCGAGAATCAAGAGGTCGACCTCCTCAACTTCTGTTGGATGGCCAATAAGGAAGAGCTGACAAGAAGTTCGAAAATCTTCTGATTAGTGAAAAAGCAAAGAATGTGATTTTATTTAAATGTACTTGCTAAAAGTAGGAAAAAGTAAAGGGCAAGTGCAGCAAACGTATTGGCGATTTCTCTCCATTAAATCCTTCACAACGATGCTTTAGTTAATGCATATCATATGTACAAGTATATAGAACTCAATCCATACCTTGGAGATAGCACGTTCTAAGAATTCAGTAGCCTCTACTGGCTGTCCCATTTGCAATAGTGTCTGCCCCATAACAACCAAGGCTCTCACGTAATCAGGATCCTTGTCAAGTGCCAGTCTGTAATACTAAGTTAATTTATACCGTACAATCACCATTGACAAAGCCAGCAACCTTCAGAGAAAAGGGATGTTACCGTAGCAATGGAATTGCTCTATCTTTATGCCCTTTTGCTAATAGTTGGATTGAAAGCTGTTCAAAGCACCAACAAAGAAGATATGATACAAGTTAAATGAAAATGGAGGACTATTTCTGATATTCACATATGTCCTGGGTTCATGTTCGTTGCTACTCACTCGAAGTAATTCTGGAGGGGATAGGTTTTGTACTGAAATTTTCTGCTGGTTCCTTGGTGGATCTAATAGTGTTGTTCCAGGTGTATCCTTTTCTTCACGATTTGCAGCTTTGGCTGGTTCACCCTTCGCAGGTAGCCCCAAACTCTTGCGAACACCAGGATGGTTGAGAGATAATTGCTGCAAAAGTTGATAGCGTATGGTGAAATACAAACAAATATTTTTCTTTTAGAACTGTTATCTGGTTAAGATTCCTAAAGTTCTGAATTAACTTTCAAGAAGCCCTTTTCAATAGGCTACCCATAAACATGAATTCCAAAGACAGCCCCAAAGAGCTAAAGAAATTATCACCAAGCTTAAAAGCATTGCATCAAAAAAGTTGAGTATATTATATCATATGATCTAAGTAATGCGTTTATATCAGATGTTTAATGCAAATAAGTTTAAGATGGGCAACAACTTCAGCTAGACATTACCATGGCTCAGTTCTAGTAATGGCAGGGAAAGTTTGGCATTGAACAAGGTCCAATTCCCAACCTCATGGAAGAAACCTTATTGCTTCACCAACTCACCACATTTTTTTGTTCTTTTTCAAGTTAAGGAATCCTTGCTGTATTAATCTAAATATATAACTTACCCCTGTATAACAAACAGAGTTCGCCTTTTACATTGATGGTCAAAATCATCTTTTGGACTAACTTCAAGGAACAGTATCAAAATAAATTTTTCTATATGTAGGAAAAGGATTTGTGAGGACCAACCTGAACAAGAGTTAGAGTACTGTTGGTAAGCCAGTAGACTAAGCTTCCCTGTCCAAAAAAAAAAAACTTCTTATTCTTTCCATGGGAACGAAGTCTTGCTGTGTAAAAATCAAACAATATCAAGCTAAAAAAACAGCAATAAGAGAAAGAGGAGGGGGGAGATAAACATTATCATAAGAATATGTAATGTCTGTGTATATATGTACATATGTATATAATTGTGTGTGTGTGGTGTAATTGAAAAAAAAATAAATAAATAAATAAAAAAGAAAAAGAAAAAAAAAGTGGGACCCACGCCCCATTTAAGTGAATTGTGAGACCACATTTGGTCTCTGCTTCCTCACACTCTCTCCCGTCTCTGTCTGCTCTCGGCTTCTCTTTCTTTCTTTTTCTTTTTTTTTTTTTTTTTTTTTCACTTCAAACTTTCATTGCTGATTTCTCCCTCATCTCTTAGTGTTTTTAAGTGCCATCTGAGGCAAAACGAAACCCATTTGAGGCAAAACGAAACAATTTCAGTTTTGGTGCTCATTTGTGCATTCGAGTTTAGAGACCCACTTTCAAGGGTTTTGTTCAATTTAGAGGTAGGGGCTCTTAATCCATGTTTTTCTTGCTCCATTGTGAATTATATCTCTCTTGTTGTGACAAGCATGTTTAATTTGGAAGTTAATTGTTTCAATGATTATATAAATGATGTTTAGGAAAATTCATGATTATGAATATGAGTTGAAAAGCATGCTTAGAGGTTGTTTTGTTGTGTTTAATGTGTTGATAATTCATTTGGAGATGTTGAACATGATGTATGCTTAATTTTGTGGTGTAAAATTCTGTGTTGTCTTGTTGTGTTTAATGTGTTGATAATTCATTTGGAGATGTTAAATATGATGTATGCTTAATTGTGTGGTGTAAAATTCTAAATGCCATAATATTGAAAGCATGGGACATATATACATGTACATACCATTGGGTTTGCATGAAATGGGAGAATTTGCTTGAAACAAAAAGGGAAATTTTGGGAAAAGCGTTTTTACGAAATGGTTTTATGAAAACCCGGTCGCCGCGGAAGTACCAAAGGGCCGGAGTGTTAATATAGCCTAGAGGGGACTAGGGAGTCGCCCTAGCGTGGTTGAGCTAGCTGGGCCCCATAATGACACCGCGAGGGTACCAAGGGTCAGGGACACTAGCCAATCCTCCTCTCGTTCCGCTGCGGGGTCACCAAAGGGCGGGTTGTATTAACAGTTTGACAGTGATGGTTTTTGAAATGTGAAAATGGAGAGCGACATCGGCACGCATTTGCATTCCATGGCATTGCATTGTTTGCAATTGAGTTTGGTTGAAATGTTGTATTATCCCGACATTGTATGATCCCCATTCCTATTGATCTATTCTTTGTATGGATTCACAAGGGCACAAGATGCGTGTTTTAAGTGTTACCTACTGAGCTTTATGCTCACCCTATTATTTAATAATTTTTTTCAGGAAACGGGAAAGAAGTGGCGGATGACTTTCCACCACAGGCCTAATTTGGATTAGAAGACTTCTTTTTGCTATTTTTGTATTAAGTTCCATATTTTTGTAAAATCTTAGTTTGTTATATTTGATATAGAGATTTGTGAACTCTTGTTATTGTAACTATATTTTGGGACTGTAATTATGATAATTTGGATTAAATAGTATATAGATGTTCCACCATGAGATGAGCCATGTTGAGGTATAATGAACGGATGGATGAGATGTTGGAGTATGTTAATTGTATTATGTGTTGGACAGGTTGGAGGTGTTTTGAAAGGCCAGGAAGGGCCATTACGTTTTTTTTATTATTTGAGCAGGTGGTTGTAGTCCCTTTTTTAGGAGAGGTCATGCTAAAATTTTTTTTTAAAATGGTATCAGTTTAGGGTCGTTACAGAATATTTCCTACATTTTGGTTGCAGATGCATATTACAGAGGAAGCATTTAGTTCTTGTGTAAAATGTTTAAGTGATTGACAAGTCAAATTCCTATGCAAATATTCTTCCTTGCTATTCAAAGAAAGAATGATATATCTTGATACATTATGGCATCACTCAATAATACCAGTGGAACAATCTTTGAAACATGGCAACGAATTAACTGCAACATTAAACACCCAATAACATCAATGATCAACAACAATATTTTTTCTCCGTTTTTTTTTTTGATAAATAAAAATTTTTATAAAAAAACACTCCAAGGGGGAGCGGAACCCAAGAACAATACAAAAAGCCACTCAATCCTTCAAAGAGGCCAAAAAATCAACAATTTCCTCAAAAGATCTATGATCTCTCCCTAAAACCCAATAATAAAGAGTGGAAATAATCGAGAATTTAAGCACCGAAATCGACATCGCCTTTCCTTCAAAATATCTCCTATTCCTTTCAAGCCAAATGCACCACCATACACAAAGCGGTGTAGCCCTCCACGCATCCTGACTGTGAGTCCCCACAGGGCAACCTCTCCAAGCCTCAATCAACCCTCTTGTAGATCTAGGCATAATCCAATAAAGCCCAAATAAGCCAAGCATCAAATCCCAACACTCTCTAGCCACATAGCAACGAATGAGAAGGTGATCCACTGATTCCTCATTACGAAGGCACATAAAACAACGATTGATCACCACTTGGCTTCTCCTTCGCAAATTATCCTGGGTTAGGATCTTACCCATAACCGAAGACCACACAAAGAAAGCCACCTTGAGAGGAGCCTTGGAGCGCCAAACAGACTTCCAAGGAAAACGAACATCAGGATCAAATGAGAGACACTTGAAGAAGGACCTCACCTCAAAACACCCATGAGAGTTTGCTACCCAAGACCAACAATCCGAAACCTCCTCCACAATCCTTTGGCGATAAAGCAGTTCCAAGAAGCGAATGACCTCCTTGATCTCCCAATCCTGAAAGTGACGCCTGAATCGAACATCCCAAACCAGTCTCCCATTATCAAAATGATAACAGTTGACTACCATGGCTTGCCTATCTGAAGCAATCCTGTAAAGCTGAGGAAAAGCGAGAGCGAGAGCGAGAGGAACATCTCCACACCACACATCCTCCCAGAAGCAAATCCTCCTCCCATCTCTAAGACGAAATCGAATGTGTTTAGAAAATTCATCCCAATCCTTCCGAATCACTTTCCAAACCCCTACCCCCCGAGGATCCCGCACTTCCAAGGAACTCCACCCTCCTCTCAATTCCCCAAAACGACACGCCACAACCCTCCTCCAAAGCCAATGTCTCTCCACACCAAATCTTCACAACCATTTCCCGAGAAGGGCCTTATTAAATGGCACCAATCTACGGAGACCCAACCCACCATTCCGAATAGGCCTGCAAACCTGATCCCATCACACCAAATGGAACTTAAACTCTTCAGCTCTACCTCCCCAAAGAAAATTACGCTGCAACCTCTCAATCCTTTCCGCAATTGAAGAGGGAATTTGAAAAAGAGAGATAAAGTAAGTGGGGAGGCAAGAGAGGGTGCTCTTAATCAGAGTGACCCTGCCGCCCTTGGAAAGATACTGCTTCTTCCAACCCGCTAGCCTTCTTTCAAATCTGTCCACCACTGGGTCCCAAATTCCTACACATCTCGAAGGAGCACCCAGAGGCAAACCTAAGTAAGAAATGGGAAACGACCCAGTCCTACAACCAAGAATGTCAGCAAACATCTCAATCTCAGGGACCTCCCCAACCGGCACCAAAACACTCTTGCCCACATTCACCTTAAGGCCGGAGACAACTTGAAACCAAATCAAAACACATCTCAAATATCTAATCTGGGACACATTCGCATCACAAAGAACTAAAGTATCATCAGCAAACATCAAATGAGAGATCTCCAACTGAGAAGCAACATCCCTGCCCACCCGGAAGCCCCTCAAAAAACCCAAATCTGAAGCCTTTCTCATCAATCTACTAAGGGCCTCCATCACAAACAAGAACAAGAAGGGAGAGAGAGGATCCCCTTGTCTCAAGCCCCTTGAGCTAGAGAAAAAACCGGAACGAGCACCATTAACAAGAATCGAAAACCGAGCACTGGAAATGCAAAAGTGAATCCATCTCCTCCACCTATCACCGAACCCCATCCTCTCCGTCAGATAAAGAAGGAAGCTCCAACTCACATGGTCATATGCCTTCTCTATGTCCAGCTTACAAAGAACACCTGGGACCCCACTACGCAGTCTGGAGTCCACACGCTCGCTTGCAATAAGAACTGAATCCAAAATCTGACGACCTCCGACAAAAGCATTTTGAGAATCCGAAATGATGCCATCCATAACTTTCCTCAGTCAAGAAGCTAGCACCTTGGCTATCAACTTATAGATACAACCCACCAAACTAATAGGGCGAAAGTCCCTAACATCCAACGCCCCCCCTTTTTTCGGAATAAGGGTAATGAACGTGGCATTCAAGCTTTTCTCAAACGAACCCCGAGAATGGAAAGCATGAAGAGTGCCCATCACCTCCCCTTTGACCACCTCCCAACACTCCAAAAGAAATTTCATGGTAAAACCATCGGGACCTGGGGCTTTATCCAAAAGTAACTAGATTTTCTAACAGCATGAGAGATTGGGGGAACCCCAGAGTGACAAAAAAGATTTTACAAAAAGAGAAAACAAATAGAGAATAAGAGACAGAACAAACACCGTAAAAAAAATAATAATAATTAATTAAATAAAACTAAACAAAACAAAAAACAGAAAGTGCAAAGACTACCCAGAAATTGTTCCTACCACCTCTGAAGCATTAACATCAACACAAGACACTAACACAACACAGCCATACATTGTCAATACAACAAATTTTAAAAAGTAGGATATAGACAAAGCAAGGACATGATAGCAAATAAATATATTTCAATATAAATAACTACTATATATAAGGCATAGTTTACTTTACGACAAGTGCTGCACGTAATAAGAAGTTCACGAAAGTGCAAATATACTGATTTATCACTAACTAATAATCAATCATGCACTATATTTGGGTATAGTATGATACGTAAGTGCATTCAAACAAGGTATCAACATGAGGTCCCAAATAGACCCCATATAAATTTTCCATTCCATCCTTCTTCTAGTTAACATGCTTTGTATCAAAGCCAGAATGTGAACAACTCCTTTCCCAACAACTTTCTAGCTTCTTCCAAGTTTCCATTGCCCACTAATTACGTGTTCCAAATCCTTGCATGAAATAGAACTTCCAAGTATTTAAATTTTTTACCCAAGAAAACATTAGATATGAGAACCGAAACTATACTAAAAACATATGGAAGGACATGACTTAACTGATAGTAGTCTCATCAATGACTTACTATCACTAGCTAGCCCTATTTAATTTGGCTGGATGTCTAAACAAGAAGAAAACAAATCAACCCAACCAATTATCTATTTAAGGTAACTCACATGGAAGTTAAATAATCTAAAGCGATATGGTCCAGTATTCAGTAAATGTAGAGATATGCTCTAAGTTACCTGAGGAACAAAAAATCCAGTAAAACATATGGGTAGTGTCAAGATCTCCAAATAGTACTTGTAATACTGCAACAAAAAAAGGTAACTCTTATAATTACATTGCAATAAATTATAAATATATATATATATATATAAAAGTCAAATATACTGTAACAGCTCAGAGGGGGATAAAGTATGGGATGTTTTAACAGAAATCTCTCAAAATATGTTTGCTTCTCCACTTTGAAGTAGGGGCTTGGGTGATCTCAACCTGATTTTCACCAGCTTATGCAACAATTTCTACAATTAGGGTTGAGCTTGAGCTGAAAAATCTCAACCCCAAACTTAACTAAGATTGGGCTTGGTTGAGATGTCAGCAACCCAAACCCAAATTTCAACATGAGTTTTATATAATTATAGTTTTAAATATATTATATATACTTGTTATTGTGATCAACCATTTTCCATTTAGTTCTTTTTCTTCAAACCTTGATTTATTGTATATTAGTTCTTTGAAAAATGAATTTCTTGAGAATTGGTTTACAAAATTTTATGTATTAACATTCACTTTTTTGGACTTTTTTATCTGCGGGAATGATCAAACCCGTTATCAGCTTAATTTCGCTAACTCAAGTTCAACCATTTGAACTGGGTTGCGATTAGATTTGGCTAGAGAGAAGCTTGGATTGACCCCTCAACCCAACTGACCCTCCCAAGTTGCACCCTACTTTGAAGAAATTATGCTACAATTACACTCTGCTAACTCATCATAAACTCAATTATATGCTTCAATTAACCAGAACTTTCAACTATAATAAGATAGAATTATCCAGGAAATTTGAACTAGTAGATGTCTTCTGTCTACTTACTTTGGCTAATAAGCCGAACAAGCCATTCGCTTTTCCAATGGAAGATGACCGAAAAGAAATCTGAAAATGGTTAAGGGGAAAAAAATGGTCAGAAAAACTTTTCCAATATATCCAAGAACACTAAGCAAAATGTGCTACTAAATATAATGTCACACGAAATCTAGAAGACCAAGAAAAGTAGACTATCATATTAATTAAATTAAGTATCATTATAACAAACAATCTAATCAATAAATTCATCGGGGGCCAAAAAAAATATAAAAATAAAAATTACTAGAGCAGTTTCTAGAGTGATCTTGTTCAGAAAGAAATTGAAAGACAGATAAATGATCTTGGTACGGAAACATAGATTTTAGCCAGAAAGCTAAGGAATAAGCTTCAAAAGCATTATTAATACAAACAAATACAAGATCTAACAAGTGATTATTTGATGACTCTAAATCAAATTAATTTGAAAGCTTTAAAAGTGGCATGAAAAATTCTAACTGACAAGTACATATCAGGCACCAGCATGACGAGTGTTATGCATAAATTTATTATCTCACACACAATACAAAGTAGCAATCTAGCTATTTATACACCAGGGTCGATGCTTGAACCGATATTTAGTTCAGTGCACCTAACTCTAACTTTAATCCAAAAAAAAAGTGCACAAGTGATTAGAATATTAGTTAGTGTGACAATGCTCATGAGTCATGAGGAGCAAAGTTATATTTATCTAATATGACATTATCATCCCATGTTAAAAAATAAAAATGTAATTCGGCAAAAACAACCTAAATATCTTGAAAGTTCGATAGAATATAGGAAATTGACTTAAAAAATTATATATCCAAAAATGAGTCTGTGTTGAAGATTGGCTCACTAAGGTGCTGTTTGATTAAACTGAAAATTAAGCACTGAAAACTTCAAGTACAGAATTTTAAGCGCTGAATGTATTAATCTGAAAACTTGTTTGATACTCTGTTAATTTTAAGCGCAGAATTCATTAAGATTGTTTGTTAAATGCAAAAGCTGAAATCTGAATGTTGTATATATTACATTTTTGCCTTCAATATCTTCTAAACATAATATTGTTATAAAAGATACTATATATAAAATATAAACACATATATAAAATAATGAATTTCATCAAAAGAAATATATCAATTTAATATTGGATATTAACATCAAAACTGATGATAAAATTTCAAAATCAAAACACAAAGTGTGCAAAGATGATACGTAGGAAAGAAATTTACTTTGGGAATAATTATGTTACCTCGATGGAATTCAATATCAACCGAATTTTCACTCGACTATTCTAACTCGAGCTCAATTTTAAATTTTGAACGTATTTGGGTTGGTTTGAGTTGAGTAGCTTGGGTTAATGAAAGAGTTGAGTTGCGGTAGGATTAAAAAATTATACTTAAGTTGAGCAAAATATACAACCTTGATGAAATTGCTTAATCAATGATTGATATATTGGCACGTTTGTTTGTAAAGAAATGTTCAAAACTTAACATGTTTTCGTCCAACTATTACATGTAAAATCTTTTCATGTAAACCAAGCACAAATATAAAAATTGTGTTGGTAAAATTGGCAATCAGATGAAATGAATTAATATAAAATGAATGACTTATGTAAAGGAGATTAGAATTCACGCACAAATCATTCCATTTTTATTTATAGTATTTTTTTTTTTTTTTTTTTTGCATCATAACAATGGTGAGAGGAGTTGCATTGCATGACGGTTGATTATAAACTTAAGTGAACCACGCAGTGTATATTGTATTTATATTTTGTTGAATATTATTTGTGTTCACACTATTTGAGAAGAAAATAGCAATGTTAGTTGCAAATTTTGAGATATTGGAGTAAATTAAGAACAAAAATCCATTAATTTGCAACCTAAGGAGGAATATAAATGCAACACGAACGAGAAGGGTAACATAGAAACTCAATCAATGTGTTTAATTTGGATGTAACAAAAAGCTAAATTTATCGTGTTTTTTGGGAGAGTACAAAGAAGTATTGAGACTTGAGAAGTTCTGATTATTTGAGGGTAATATTATCATTAATAAAATATTTTAAAACTTAAAATCACTTACTGTTTTCTGCAATAAGCATTAAGCAAGGTAACGGTCAACAAGCATTAAGCAAGGTTATTGTTGCTTAAAATTTTGGTCTGTTTTAAGAGGTGCGTAATATTTTAAAGCCTAAATGGTTATCAAACACGCTTATTTTTAAAAATCGCTGACCGTGTTATGTGCTAAGAGCTAAATGAGAGTACCAAACAGGGTTTAATTTAGTACTTATATATTAATTAGTTTACAAAATCTACCAAGGAAATCTGACAAATATTTAAGGAAAAGAGAGATAGATTTGGTAAGGTTCAATAAAATAATTAAAATTTAGAGAGTGAAGGTAGTTCAATTCAGCACTGAACTCAGCAATTCAAGCAAACTAAGATTTGGGCAAGCATAAAGCCATTTTCATCTTTTTCTTTGTTTTTTTCATACTCTTTTCCTTTTATTTGGTGGCTGTAGTGGTGGTGTTAGGTTGCCAGGGTTGAGGGTGTTCTTCCTACGTTGCTCTGCTGGTCACATACACAACCACCCCAGTGCAGCAAAATGAGAATCTTTTACAACATCATGGAAGTGCTGTGACTATCAAACACTACAATCATCCAAAGTTGGAGAAGGCTTCTGATACGTAAATAAAGAATTTCTACCACAAGTTGGTAAGAAGATGAAAGAATCACATACCTGAACATTAACAAAATGCAAACCAGCTATCAGTAAAGGAAAGATGGAGCCAACAATGCCATGAGGTAATTCAGTCAGGTTCTGGAACCATAGAGTTCCACCCTGTAATGAATTGAATGGAAATTTTGTCAGCACCAGACAAAAAAATTAGAGATACCTTAACACTTCACAAGTGAATATCAAAGAGTTGACCATGCTCCAACACAAACATTATCCAAATAAGACTAGATAGTGAAAACACTATTTAAATGAGAAGGCACCAATGTTGTACATCCGATGTTAAACAAGAAAATGTACAAAGCTCAAATATATTTCGTCTCAGCCAAAAGCTTTACAGATGAATCTGTCAACAACGATGAGCTACCCATGATGATGATGATAAATACAGCTTAAACTCTTAGACTCCTCACCTTAAACAATTTCCTATTCCTCTCGCCCACTAAATGCTCCACCAAAGACAAATCAGAGTATTTGCCATAAACCTCTGGCTCTACTCCTCACTCTGCAGCCTCTTCAACTGGCTGACACTTCCCCTGCTGACCTAGGCTTCATTGAAAAAACACCAAGCAGAGCACGTATAAGGGCCCACTAATCCTAGCCACGAGAGCAACAATAGATACCTAGCCAATTCCACAACGGACAATTTTCTGTGGAAACAATAAAACAATTGGTCAAGATCTTTCCATTAACTTGCATCGAAAAGAAAAGAAAATACTACGTTAGGGCGCTTTTGTGCACCAAATAGCCCTCGAACAAAAAGAATTCACCTCAAACAGTCCTCCCCGTAACCTCAACCAGCTCAAATTCCATGAATCCTGCAAAAAGATTTCAACCCCGAGCCCTCCCCTCAACCTCAACCATCATAAAGCAGCTTCCTCTACCCTGAACACATCCTGGTCATATATTATGCCATAGAATTCCAAAATATTCCGCATCTCTTAATGCTGCAATGCTATATAGAAGTGAATGTCCAAACCCACCCCTCTCAGAAAGCCCCGAACAATCCACAACCATAGCCTGAAGCTTGACTAAAATACTGAAGAGGTCCAAGAAGAACAAATGCCGGGAAGAACATGAGAATAAATCTCAAGTGCTTCAGTTGATCTTCCTGGAATTCACAGAACATCAACATTTCATAAGAAAATAAAAGATAGGATTATACCAAGGGACTCCCCACAACAACCCCTTATCTGGAAGGACAAGGATCCTCTCCATTACTTTTTCAATCCTGTATTTCATGATGCTCGATTCAATGGTTCAAATCTTTCTACATCAGTTGCTCTTTCATCAAACAATACTACATTGTTTTAGTAGAAATATATAAAAAGAAGAGAAAAGAGAGAATTGCGTAAAGGCTTGAATAAGATGTTTTACTCATTCACAGCTCTAGTATTTATAGATAAAATGAGCACATGCTCATATTACAAGAAATAAACTAAATCAAATCAAAATCAAATCACAACTTATTCTATGACATATTCTATAGCATAGTCAACTCTCTGCTATTATGGTAAGTCATACCATAAATCGTGGTATCATATATATGCTATTATATGCATAGTCAAATCTCTGCTACTATGGTAAGTTATTCCATAAATCTTGGTATCATAAATGCTAACACTCCCCCTCAAGTTGGTGTGTGGATATCTGAAACGTCCAACTTGGACAATGCATTCTCAAACACAATCTTGCTGACGCCCTTTGTAAGAATGTCTGCAAGCTACTGAGAGCTTGTGACAAATGGAGTGCAAATTTGACCAGAGATGATCTTCTCTCGGATGAAGTGACGGTCCACCTCTATATTCTTAGTCCTGTCATGCTGAACAGGATTTGCTGCTATGCTAATGGCAGACTTGTTGTCACAGTAGAGTGAGAATGGAAGTGACACTGGAAGGCACAAGTCTGTCATCAAGGTTTTCAGCCAAAGCAACTCACCTAGCCCAAGAGCCGTAGCCCTATACTCTGCCTCTGCACTAGATCGAGAGACAACATCCTGCTTCTTACTGCGCCAAGTAACTAAGTTACCACCAATAATGGTACAATAACCTGAAGTAGACCTCCTATCTGAAATTGAACCTGCATAATCAGCATCTGTCCAAGCCTCTACACGTAAGTGACCATGATTAGCAAACAAAATACCATGGCCTAGACACCCTTTTAAGTAGCGAAGAATCCGAATAGCTGCATCAAGGTGTGGGGCATGAGGAGAGTGCATGAATTGACTCACGACACTCACGGCATAAGCAATGTCAAGTTGAGTCATGGATAAATAGATGAGCTTCCCCACAAGTCGTTGATACTGACCAATATCTGACAACAACTCCCCCTCAGAATCAACCAACCGATGATTCTGCTCAATCGGAGTATCAGCAGGACGAGTGCCAAGCTGACCAGAAGTAGAAAGCAAGTCAAGAACATACTTGCGTTGAGAGATGAAAATGCCAGTCTTGGAGCGAGCCACCTCAATGCCCAAGAAGTACCGTAGGGGACCAAGATCCTTAATCTCAAACTGACGGCCAAGATAGCTTTTAACCTCATTAATTCCGGTAGTATAATCGCCGGTAAGAATAATATCATCGACATACACAATGAGAGCAACTGTCTTACTGCCTGAGTGACGTAAAAACAAGCTATGATTAGCTGCACTTTGATGAAAACCAAACTTGAGCATAGCAGTGCCAAAGCGATCAAACCAAACTCGAGGAGACTGTTTGAGGCCATATAAAGAACGACGAAGACGACATATCATACTAGAATGAGCAGGAGAACGAAAGCCCAGAGGAGGAACCATGTACACCTCCTCCTGCAAATCACCATTAAGAAAGGCATTCTTGACATCTAACTGAAATAGAGGCCAAGATCGAATTGCAGCAACGGAAAATAATACACGGATGGTATTCATCTTGGCAACAGGGGCAAAAGTCTCTTGATAATCTATGCCAAAAGTCTGAGCATAACCCTTGGCAACCAATTGGGCCTTGTAACGAGCAACTGACCCATCTGGATTATGCTTAACTGTAAACACCCAACGACAACCCACAACCTTTCGTCCAATAGGAAGCGGAACCATGTCCCAAGTCTGATTTTTCTCAAGTGCTTGTAGTTCTTCTGTCATAGCATCACGCCATTGAGGTTATGCTAGCGCATCTGCAACACTGGAAGGAATAGGAACCAAGGCAACAGAAACAAGAAAACTTCGATAGGAGGGCGAGAGAGCATAATCAGAAACAAAATTAGAAATAGGGCAAGTACAAGAACGCTTATCCTTTCGAAGAGCGATGGGGCGATCATCAAGCGAAACAATAGCTTGAGAAGGCGGAGCTGGTGCCGAAGGAACAGGGCAGTCGATCGTGGGAGTAGAAGCTTGTACCTGTTGTCTCCAACTATAAACCTATGAAAAAGGAACAATTCCCCCTGCTGGAGGGGTATCACGAGGAGGAATTATAAAAGAAAAAACAGGTAATGGTAGAGGAGTTGAAGACGGAAGAAGGTGATCATCCATTATATTCAATGGGAAGCATTCACTCCGAGAACCAACTGAACCACTATAGTATGGTGTATGCTCAAAGAAAGAAACATCCATGGATATAAACCGCCGACGACTGGGAGGATGGTAACACCTATAACCTTTTTGAGAGTGAGAATAGTCCAAAAATACACACTTCAAAACCTTGGGGTCAAGCTTTGTACGAGTTTGCCCCAACTGCTGAACAAAGCACACACATCCGAAGATTCGCGGAGGAATAAAAAATAGAGATGAATTGGGATGTAAGATTGAGAGTGGGGCTACAAAGTTAAGAATCCTAGAAGGAGTCCTATTAATGATGTAAACAGCGGTAAGAACTGCATCTTCCCAAAATGACTGGGGAACATTCATGCCAATGCAGATTGCTCTGGCTAAGTCAAGGATGTGACGATTCTTTCTCTCAGAACGACCATTTTGTTGAGGAGTTTTAACATTAGCCAGCTGATGCTCAATCCCAAATTCTGTACATAACCATTGTACCTCCCCATAAGTGTACTCTGTACCCTGGTCAGATCGGAATTTTTTAATGGTACGACCATATTGAGTCTGAACCATTGTCATAAAATTTTTAAAAATGGTGTATACCTCATTTTTGGTTTTCATAAGATAAACCCAAGTAACACGACTATGATCATCAATGAACAATACGAAATATCGAAATCCAAGACTAGAAGTAACTGGGCAAGGACCCCACACATCTGAATGAACAAGGTCGAAAGGTGTTAAAGCAGATTTATTACTACTAGCAGGATAATTGGAACGAACATGTTTAGCCATATGACATGTTTCACAGGATAAATCTGACATTGCCACGTTGCAAAATAAGGAAGGAAATAAATGTTTCAAATAACCAAAAGAAATATGTCCTAAACGCATGTGCCAACGCATAAGCTGGGCTTTATTAGATGAAACAATATTGGAAAATGAAGCTGAATGTGCTTGAGGTGACAAAGGAGCATCCAACAAGTATAAACCGTCCACTTCACGCCATTGCCAATCGTCCGTTTCGACACCAGATCCTGAAAAATACAATGAAAGGGAAAGAACGTTAACACTACAATTTAATTGTTTGGTAACGCTACTAACAGAAATAAGATTTGTAGTCAACTTTGGAACATGAAGTGTATTTGACAAAGTTAATGAAGGAGTAACTGATATGTAACCCTTCCCAGCAATGGAAGATGGAGAGGCATCCGCAAGGCGGACCTTGCGTTGGCCAGAGCAAATACTATAAGATTGGAAGAGTGAGGACATACCAGTCATATTACCTGAAGCACCAGAATCAATGATCCATGGTGTTGAAGATGTAGATACGCTATGTGCAGACGCAATAGTACCTGAGTGGGCATAAGTGGAGGTTAGCTAAGATGATGCCTCCATTTGGTTGAAGAATTGCTTGAACTTGTCCAAATCAGCTTGAGTTAAAGTAACCGTGGCAGAAGATGTAGAGGCAGGGTTGTCAGGAGTTGACAACGAGACTGGTTGTATAACAGAATGTGCAGAGGATCGAGGCTGTTGTTTCTGTTGCGGTGGACGTCCATGTAGAGCATAACAACAAGATTTGATGTGACCAATTTTTCCACAATGGTCACACCGTCCACGTTGTCTTCCCAGAGGAGGACCGGTGGTAGTGCTCTGAACTGATTGGGATGGTGAAGTTCCTGAAAGGTTGGGAATCCGAACTGCCAAAGCAGAACGATCAACAGAAGCAACACCTAATGGATGAGTCCGGCGGCTCTCATCTGACAACACATAGGAATATGCATCCTCAAGAGTAGGGAATGAAGATAAGCCCAATAAATGAACACGAGCATACTCAAACTCGTCGTTCAACCCGGCAAGAAACTGAAACACTCGATTCTTCTCCACAATTCCTGCATGTAAAACTGCATCATCTCGATCCTTCCAAGAGTGGAAGGAATCATAATATGACATCTCCTCCCAAATAGCACGAAGCTTGGCGATGTAACCTGAAACTGTCAAGTCACTCTAGAAATCCTAGTGATATCTCACCCCAGTTGGAAAATTCATGCATTATTCTGCCTCTGAGAATAAGTGCGTTGAACTGAATCCCAAATCTGCTTAGCAGTCTTTATAAACATATAGCCAACAGCTATGTTTGGTTGCATCGAATTAACTAGCCAAGACAAAACCATAACGTTATCTGCAAACCACTGTGGATATGCCTTCGCTGACTCAGCTAGCTCTTTCTCAGAACCAGTAATATAGCCAATCTTGCCTTTGCCACCAATGAACATCTTGGAAGACTGTGCCCAAATCAAATAGTTGGAACCATCCAACTTCACTGTGGTGATTTGAAGTCCTGGATTTTCCGATGAGTTGGTGGAAAAAATGGCACCACCACCCACAGAACGCGAGCCAAAAGAATTAACAGTCGAGGACCCCGAATCTGCCATAATCTGTCACACGACAATAAAAAGAACTCCAAAAAACACCACAAAGTCTGTTAATAAATCAAAGGGTCTCCTCAGACCATTTACAATGTCTCCTCAGACCATTCCCGAAAAATCCAAATAAATACCTTTTTTTAAGGAGCGCTGCCCGCTTACATATAGCCAGACAGCCTCCTTCTTAATATTCGGAACCTCTTTGTAAACTAATTTTTTTTTTTACCCAAGCCCTTCTAGGTGTTGGAAACCAACTATCCCAATTTACCCAATCCTAGAAGAGTGAAAAAGAAATTGTAAAATTTAAAAATACCTGTTTTCGATCAGAAAACAGCAACACAGAAAAACATATGTAGGCAACGTCACACGATGTCATAAACAGCTTAAGGTAGCTGTCGCACAAGTAGCAAGACTGCTGAAAAGCGTGGAAAGGTGTTGGCTCTGATACCAAGTAGAAATATATAAAAAGAAGATAAAAGAGAAAATTGCGTAAAGGCTTGAATGAGATGTTTTACTCATTCACAGCTCTAGTATTTATAGATAAAATGAGCACATGCTCATATTACAAGAAAGGAAACTAAATCAAATCAAAATCAAATCACAACTTATTCTAAAGCATATTCTATGGCATATTATATAGCATAGTCAACTCTCTGCTATTATGGTAAGTCATACCATAAATCGTGGTATCATATATATGCATAGTCAAATCTCTGCTATTATGGTAAGTTATTCCATAAATCGTGGTATCATAAATGCTAACAGTTTTGAAAAAATCAAGACACGTGTTAATCAGCCGATGTAGAATATTCTGAACCATTGGTAGAGAGTGTCAGGGAGTACAAGAGAGAGAACGTGATGGAGTGGATATTGATTCCATCTGGAAACCCCTTAGCAAACCACCTTCGCAATCCGTTCTAGATGTTCTTGTTTCTACTAATCTCCATCCTATCCACCATAATCCCCCAACATGATGGGTTTGTCTATGAGTACTGGTAAGCTGATGAAAGAACTTCATGTTCCTATCACCCTATTTCAACCATAAGTCCCTGTTTTTGCCTCTGGTTCACTTACTCCCCTGAGAGTAATCAGCTCCATCTTAGCCTTCCTATCCTCTCTTAACCACCTCAACTTTGCTCAGCTTATTATTGCCCTCCTCCTCATCAAATGGTGTGATTTTCTCCATCAATCTAGTCTTCTTCCATTCCAAGTTGCAAAAAGGCACCTTTATTTCATTTTTTCAAGTCATATAGAAGCCCTCCAAAACCTTCCTAATGCAACTGAATGTTTTTAAAACTAAAGGACCCTTACCATTCTAATGTCACTACTGTTCGACAGAGGAGGAATGCAGTACGACACTGTTCTAACCATCATTATTTGGGCCAAAAAAGGAGAATCTCTCCTCCGATCTTCCTGAGTCTGAAACCAGAAACTCCAACCATCTCGGGCTTGGCTACCCATTGTACAACCCTTTCAAGCCTCAATCATGCCCATAGTGGAAGCCGGTAAAACCCAAGGTACACCAAATATAGTAAAAAAACATGGCTCAAACATCCCTCACCACCAAATAATGTAAGAGAAGATGGTTCACTGAATCCCCATCCTTCTTGCATAAATGAAACCAATTCACTATAATATGTCTATAATATGTCGCCTCTTCCTCAAATTATCAATCGTCGAGATCCTCCCTAATGCCACCAACCACACAAAGAAAGCAACATTTAAAGGGGAGATTTCGCCAAATTGCCTTCCAAGAAAAAAAGAAGACCCCAAAGCATCATAATACTCTGATAAAAACAGCACACCTCAAAACTCCAATGTGAGGAACCCATCAAAAATCAGGTCAGTAAAATTGGAAGTGCAACTCTAATATGAAATAACCTTGATACTAAACTGGATCAAGCCGAGGATCTTATTGGAAATGGGAAGATCTAGGATTGGCAGCCAACCTCATGGAGAAAGAAATGTGCATGGACCAAGTGAGTGGGTATGCAGCTCAGTGGACTGCTCATCAGGCCTAATACGTGGTAGTATCACACCCTTCTCTAAGGAACCATACGTGACAGTCTCTTCCCTCCCTTTACGTACTCCCAATCTATGTTACATGGACTCGGGTACATGTGGTGGACACGGGCATGTATCCATGTGTCGGACGTGTCAAATCTTCAAACAAAAGGACACACGGACACAGCTAAATATTCATTTCATTAATTATTTTATTTTATTTTCTAGAGCAAAGTAATATTTTTATCAAATAAAATGTTCAAAATAGGCATTTAACTCATTTTAAAGTACTAAAACAATATAATTGAATGATTAGATATACTTTTTAAGTACATGTCCAACCAAAAGTGTCGGACACGTATCTCATACCCATGTCCGAGCAACAGGTGTCCGACACGGGTACTTCACTACTTTTAAAGAGTCCATGTAACATAGCTCCCAATGAGGACTAAAATGCTTGTTTGCAACTCTATTATGATACATTTGTTCTACTATATGTGGCACTGAAACAATGTTGTCATCATCAGCATCCTAGCCTTTATCTCCCATAAATGGGGTCGGCCGCATTGAAACAAAGTCTACAAAATAAAAACATCCACGATGATAGCGGCTTCGAAAAACTTGTTTCTCAGTTCATAAGAGGACTTTCAGTAGAAAATTTAGTTTTGAGAGCGATAGTACCACAACTATAATATATTACAGGTATATACGGATTAAATATGCCAGCGCCTTACAAAATCAAACCCAGGATGATGATCCAGCGACATCCTTCGGATACTTGCCATCCACAAGAAAAAGCATGGGACCTGCAAACAAAGTGCAAGACAGGGAAACATGCAGCCAGATAAAATTTAGTCTATGTAGGCCAAGGTCCCATAATCTAAAGCTTATGGAAAAGGAGAAAGAAAAAAACTTTACTTTCTATTTGCTCTTAAGCTAATTCAACCTACATATCCGCATGCTAAGCCAGAAAAATTTTCACTAATTAAAAGCAAATTATAAATAATTACACATGGTTGGTTTTATTTATGTAATGTTAAGAATACATCATATTTGTTCAATTCAAATGTACAAGGTAATGGGACTATAAAGGAACACATGACATCACTGAACTTGCCCCACTAGTGAAATATAATAAACATGGCATTGCTCGCATCATGCGAAGAAGGTTGTAGATTATTGATACTTTATGCCTCATCTTGGGCTCAGATTGGCTTGGTCCCTGCTTGAAATGCATTATACCACTTGCCATGATGTGAATGGAAACTAAGATGATCATTGGTTCAATTCCAATAGCCTGTCCTCTGTTGTTCAATTTTCTACGTGATAAATAATGCCCATTGAAAGCAAAGAAACTTGAAAGGCTGTATTCCTCTTCTTCTTTTTTTAAATTACTGATTTATTATTATTATTTTTTTTTTGATAAGTAAAAATTAAATAAAAAGAGGTTCAAAAGGGGAACGCATCCCAATTACAAGATTGAAAACGAGGCTAAAGCCTCAAAGAATCCAAGAAAGTAATTAAATCATCAGAAGAGGAGCAAGAACTCCTCTTGACATAATTAAAAAGAGAGCGAATAATAAAAAGTTTCAGCGTCGTCGTAGACGACTCCTTTCCTTCGACCATTCTGTTGTTTCTCTCCTTCCAGATGCACCACCACAAAAATTACTGATTTATTATGCTATAGGAACTTCCAACTATACCGGGAATTCAAGACAAATGTTATAATTCCCTCAGTAGATCTCACATAAATTGTGATGCATATAAACTTTCATTCCAATGGCAGGCGGAGGTTTGTGATTTTCTAGCCGTAGAAAAGGCCCTGAACTAATTGATGCCATTGCATGTGACTTATGCATATCCATCTCATATACATATACACGTATAAAGTTATAAACACGAACATATATTTACATATATACATTAAAGTTGCATAAAGCAAGCAAAGACACCCAAAAAACACTCAGGTCAGTTGATGACAGGAATGGAGAGGTGGAAAGTCTGAGTTATGATCAATGAAATAAGGTACTAGCTATGATTTCTAAAAAGGGAACCAATTAACCGACCCCTCCTTATTGACAATCCAGCAAAGGTAACATGTATAGACTGTATAGTCTTTCATTGGTATATCGGATCAACTAACAAGAAGCATACCTTGCTTTTACTCCAAATAGGATATTTAATATATTCTGTCAGTCTTTATCCTAAAATGATATAGTTTAACTTTGAAGTGTTATCCGCTCAGTCAAAGGATAGTAGTTTTTATTTCCAGAAAAAAAAAACCTGGTTGGTAATAGTTCCTCAATCTACACCCAAAGATGTCATGACTAATCTTATACAGTTTGCTTGCAGCTGTTAATATGCTATGAAATGTAAAATCATTCTTTTGATTTAAAGAACAATATCCCAGCATGAGGAGACAGAAGAATCACCTGGACGGAGAAGAATGCAAGGAACCATAAATAAGAAGGGCATCCAACCGCTCGCTTTTCCTTAAGGAAGAATGAAATATGGTCGATGTAACTCCTTCCTGACAGAGGTGGTGGTAATGGAGGAGGCACTTTAAGAGATGCATAAGAAAGTCGAGTAAAGATCATGTGTAAGTTAAATAGCAGAGTTTAGGAGAATGTAAAAGGATTCCTTTGTAAAAATACCATAAAAGGGAGACATATTGGTCTTGCATCATATTTTGAAATCAAGATATTCAAGTATAGTCAACAATAATTCTTTTAATTTATTTGTATTAAGGGCAATCAACAATTATCATAAACAGTTCCAACCAAATATGAGTCACCTAAGAAAACAACGAAAAATAACTGTGTTTAGTCCATCCAAAGACCCACAAAGACACCTTCTCTGCCAGTGCATACTCACATAGTTAAATTTATGGAAAAGTCTTTAAAAAAAAATTAACTTCTCTGGTTTCGTGTTTTCAAGCTTGAACACCAGTGTCATATACTGCCATTAGTACGATTTTGAACTTCAGAGCAGCCACTTCCTTAAATACCAAAGGTCAAGTCAGTCTGGAGTCTTCCTCCCCGGGACGCTGCTTAACGGGACAGGAACTAGGTAATTTCCTTCTTTTAAAATTTTTAGAGTTGCATGACAAGAACAATTAGAATTAAGTAAAGGAAGAGACGCAAATGAAAGAAACCGCTGCAGTGCTTATGAAGGAAATACTGAAACATTATGAAAAAGCAAAAACAACTAGAGCTTCATATTCATTATAAGAGGAAGAAAAGACTCACATTTTGGGAACAGTTCTGCAATCCTTTGTAACTTACGAAGTTGCAAGATAAGAATAGGGAACAATGTGATTCTGAGAGCCAAAGTGGAGGAAGCAATTATTATCCACCTGGAAAATCATTTGTTATCGATAAAGAACCATAAAAAATTATATATAAAAAAAAAATGAATATTAAATCACCAAACCAACTAGCAACAGGGCTCAAATAGAAGAATAAGCATAGTGCAATACAGTTCTGCTATCAAGAAATGAAAGTTGCAATATCTAGCCGTATATAGTCAAAATTACCCAAACAGAGTTTGTTGACAATTTGTAGGGATGAATCCTATTTAAACTCCACTAATCCAACCATAAAAATAAAATAAAAAATTAATAGCTCAGTTAAAATCTGGTGAAACGAGACCAAGAAGTCTGAAACTTAAAAGCTCTTGGGTTGATCAAAGCTGGCCCAAGTTTTAAAAAATTCAATTTTCAAATTTGGTCCAAATGTCAGGAAATCTGAACGACTAATTTAAGCCAAAGATAAAATTGGCTTTTGAATTCCAAAATAAAACCCTTTGTGACAGTGGTGATCTACATAATGTTATTAATCACTGCAAGGAAAAAATAAATTGTCTTTCTGCGAATTGTAATTAAACAATCAACCATATAACGAAATTTTCAAAATAAAAATCCAATTCTGCCAACCACGAAAACGAACTTGACAATCAATCTATCATTTGATTTTCCTTTCTGTCAATTTCTCAGTAATCAAACAGTGAGGGGCATGAGCAATACAACTTTTCAGCTTAATCAAGGACAATTTGGAATCTCATACAAAGTACAACCTAAAATTATGAATTTAATTCCTCCTTACTTTCCTTCCATTTCTCAACATCCAAACACTGAAGTGCGAATATCAGTAAAGCCGAATCACTACTTACCAAGGCAAGCCAGTGAGATCATGGTATCCATCAAGCAACGAAATAACAGCACGAACCGGAAGAATAGACTCTGAAGCTCCAGCCACTGTCTCTGCAATTTCCTGACCACCACCAAGCCCTGGGTCCAAGATCTCCTCGGACTGAGTCGCCGCTGAGTCATCACTAAGATTGACTCCTCCGTAATCTGAGTCATCACGAGTTGAGAAAGAGCGAGAGTAGAAGAAACTATAGGGTCCAATGGACGATGGGAAGTGAAGATTGTGTTGGAAGGTTTTGGTTCCGTGATTGTGAGGTGCGTCTGTATTGTGGTGCGATGGTGTGAAGAGCGAAAGTGAAGAAGAGATAGAAAATGAAGAGAGAGTGTGTGTGTATCGACGTCGACGAAGGAGTTTTGATAGTAAGAGCTTCGGAGCGGACATTTTGGGCAAAATGGTGGAGAAGGAGAACAGAGGGCGTCAAAAGAGGTTTTAAGCGTTTGTAAAAGAGAAATGTTTATGCCCACGCGCGGATAACGAGCGTGCGAACACGACGTCATATGTGGAAAGGTAACTTAGGTGTCACGATTTTCATATTCGCTACTGTGACCTGTCTCACAATTCTTGTACCTATCTTATTTTATGAGTGTCCCTCGTGTTTGTAGATTAGAAGTTACAGATTAGAAGTTACAAATGATACGCACTTATTTATAGCATCCTTCTCGATGAAATGCATTACAATGAATATTTAAGAAAGTCATTATATTCCATCCATATCCCAATTCCATTCATTTAATATCCCTTTGGTGTCATTGACATAACAGATGTCGTTTCTAGTCTATCTCTTTCTATTTCTATATATGTTCTATATATGGAAAGTTAAAAAATTATCGTATAATAATCCAGAAACTGCAATAGAAAAGAAAAAGGGAGGTTTGTGATGATTTTTAAATCTTTTCTACTAAGTAATCTAGTATCCTTATGCATGAAGATAATCAATTCGGTCGTTGTGGTCGGATTCTATTATGGATTTCTGACCACATTCTCCATAGGGCCCGGTAAAATATCTATGACTTTACAAAACTGTCAACACTTCTAAAATATTTTACACTATAAATATCTGCTACCTTTCTAATATTTTAACGTATTCCAACTCTATATTTTTCAATATTCTAGAATTTCTATCTTTTCCTGCAGTACATCACAATCTCTTCATAATTTTAAAATATTGAAGAGACTCATACTTATCAAATGAAAGTTAGAGATTTAGTCTCGGGTGGGTGAGTGAATTGTTTTTAACTCTTTAATTGTGTATGTTATTTTTACTGTCTTTGATCTCACATTTTATATAAGAAATGAATTTTAATTTATTTCATATTAAAATATATTATTACTTATTATAAATATTATTATCATACTTTTTAACAAAGAGTAAAGATGTAAAATTTATAAATAAGCCACTACTTGTGTTAAATGGTCTTAAAATATCCAATAAAAATTTACTAAAAAATTCATTTTTGTTGAATTGTGTTCATTATTTGTTATGCTTAATTTTTTTTTTTTTGGATACGATTGACTATATATATATATATATATATATATCTTCTCACATGAATGTTGTATTTATTTAATGATTAAATTTATTATTATTCATTAATTTACTAAAAATATAATACAAATTGCAACTTAAAAATTATAAATAAATTATTAGTTATGTTAAATGGTCATTCAGTGAAAATTTATCTTTATTGAATTATATTGTAAAAAGATACGTATGTGTGCATTTTGGACATTATGTGTGAGATATAAGAAAATTCACAACTGCGATTAATATCCCGTCTGTCAATCTTGACAATAACCACAACTATATATAAGTGATTTAATATAATTATTACAAAGAATAATTTTCTTATCCTTTTTCCCTCTTAGGCTTGATGCCTGGATTGCCTTTCAAGGTGCTTTTGTTGTCTAACTTAGTTTTTTTGTCTCATAAAATACTTAGTAAAAAAAATATTTGTTAACACTAGAAAATAAGAATTTCACATTTCTGTTTCTTATAAATATCATTGAGTAACACGTGTCCTGCTAAAAAATTCAAGACAAACTTCACATTTGATATATCACGAAGTGAATGATTTTAAGGGCAGGTTTCATTCCTTGTTTTTTGTGTTTTTCTTACCACAATTTTCTTTTCTCAAATCACTAAAAATATAAAATAGTTCAAAATTTCTTTTGGTTTACATTTCTTTTGTTTTTTTTTTTTTCTCTACTCACATGAATGTTGTATTTATTTAATGATTAAATTTATTATTTTTCATTAATTTACAAAAAATATAATTAGGATTGCAATTTAAAAATTATAAATAAATTATTACTTGTGTTAAATGGTCTTTAAAAATTTAGTAAAAATTTATCATTATCAAATTATATTGTAAAACAATGTGTTTCGGTGCATTTTGGACCCTATGTGTCAGATAAAAAATAAAAATAAAATAAAATAAATAAATTCAGCTGAATAACCTATTCAACTATACAACAATCTAATTCTATTACACCGCGACTACGTCAATGATTACAACCAATATCGCGATTACAAATCTTAGAACAATCACAACTATATAAGTGATTTAACAACATTAACAATATTTGTAATTGTCAAATCGTTTAAAATATGTATGAATGAGTTTCAACTTTAAGTGAATTTTTAAATTTTGGTAGTGGATTGTAGGGTAATAAATAATAAACAAACACAACTAAAATAAAAATAAAGATTGAAATCAATAGAGAGAAAATATTAAGGTATCAAATTTCACCACCATTAAATCTATAAAGTCTCAATTATCAATTAATTAATTCCTTAAGTAATAAAAATAATTCGGAAGTCACTCCATTATTTTTGAAAGATTTTTTCAAATCTAGATTTTCTTTTACTTACAAGTTGTAAAATTTTAAGCATCCTATGTATTCGACTTAATGAAAAACATAAAATCAAAGATTATTACAAGAATATAAAAAGCAAGCCTAGATTAATTATTTGATAATTCTAACTACCATCAATACATGATAATAATGGTGAAAGAAACTTACAACAATTAATCATATGAAGCAAAAATCATAAGCATTAAAACCATACAAATAGAAATAGATAAAAGAATAAGAGAACTTTATTTCATTAATGTAGGTTTCATCCTCAACTAAGGTTGAGGATTTAGTTACACGTGATAAAATAACAAAGTAAATATATGGAAAGATGACATGAGTAAAAAGAATTAAAACAAATAAATCCGGATCGATGTCTTCTAATGCTCGATGCCTCCTCCCCTTCTCTTTTGTATTATATCTCTTCACACTGGTGTCCTCTCTATATACTAGTTCTATAAGGGTTTTCCAAAGGAAAGAAGAATAAATTTGGCAGAGAATGAAATCTTGATAAATATTTTCTAGAATCTCTATAAACAATCTCAGTCCCGAATGCACTCGTATGCTTGATCTAGTCTTTCTTTAAAATAATAGATATAACCTTTAATGATGTGAAAATTACCAAAGACCTGAAAAGACATAAAAGCCCTTTATTAATTAAAATAAAATAAATATAAATTTAGAGAAAAAATATGTATTAAATAAGCACTGGATGTGTTAATAATCTACTTGGTGAAACATGTGTATAAATGGCAACTTGTCTTTTGTTTTTGATACAATTAACACTGGTGGATTATTGACGGACAATTATGAGGTCCAAAGTTTTGGTTCCAGGGTACTCGTCCTCTCATCCTGTCTAAAGTTTCTTATTATTTTTTAATTTTAATATGTTTGTTTACTGTAAGTGGTTAGTTTGGAAGCGTGCTTTTTTCATTTATGATAGGTTATTCTTTAAGGATATGACTTTTATGATCTTTTATTTTAATACAACAAACCATTCAGAAAAAAATAATAATAAAAATAAAAATTTATAGTAGTAAAATAAACAATAGTAATAGTTCAAAAAATTATAGATTATTAAGTTTCTCCCATGGTATAAAAAAAATCAAAATTTTAATACATAAAACTTTCATAATATTTAAATTGTATATAAAATCATTTCAATTACAATTTTCTTACTTACTCAATTATCATCAATGTCTCCAATATAGACTTGGCTATTCCATGAACTTAGGGGAAAAAAAAGCTTCTTCGTGAAAAAAAACAGAAGATAGATATCATTAAGCAACCTATCATTTTAACACACTAGTCACATGATCAATCAACTCAATCTCATACCCCAAGATCTGTGTCCAAAAAACAAGAAAAGAGACTAAAATGATCACAATAAAAGAAAAAAATTGAGTGCACGGTCAAACAAACATCATTTTTTATGTCAATGTTAACTGCTACTTGTAACGAGTTGGTGTTTGTCTATTTATTTAAAAGTTTAATCACTCTCTTTCACTCAAACTCGCAAGTCGCAATGCCCTTGTTGTAGTCGGGTCACCCTGCCTACCCGGATGGCACACCCGAACACCTTTAGGGCAGAACGCTTGGCGTGACACCAGATCAAAAACTGGATTTAACTCTGATACCAAGTGTAATGGGTGAGTGCTTATCCATTTACTCAAAAAGTTAAACTATTTGGTGGGATTAACACCCAATATATATATACTTAATTACTCTCCCATTCGAATCCGATTGAAACACTACTTCATACTGTCGATTCACATGGCAATCTGGGTCAGAGAGTGACCATGGGAACGGATTTCGGGTTCATCTTGGACTACCAGTCCTTGAATGTGCTCCTTTTGGCCATTGCCATCTCTTTCTTAAGTCATATATAATTAATTCTATAAAAGATTTCGTGATTGATAATAAGTTGCAATTCTTATTTATAAAGCATAAAATTTTAAAAATTGAAACCAAAATAATCCAGAGAGGATTGGAATGCTTTATCTAACATAAATTTATAATCCATCGTAGTATGATAAGGGTTCAAATTGCCAGGACAATTTAAAGTTCAGAATAGCATATCTTTCCCTATTGAGACACCATGTCTCCTTTGAGCCTCGAATTCCTGTTGGTTGGTATGTTTATATCTATTCAGATTTTGAACTGAAATTGCAGAATCAAATACAGTCCCACTCCATTTCCTCAAACCAAGCACACCTAGAGAAATCTAGAACATAACCTTAGATGAAATAATAAAAATAAAAAATAAAAATTGAGGAGCACTTGTGAGAAAGTACAAAACCATAAGGTTATTATGTTCTTCAAATAGAAGATCAATATATGGCCATATAATTTCCCTAGGAAGACATTCATTTCTCTGCAGTATTGTGATATCTCCTCTCCTTTCAAAGTGAAAGGTAAAGGGTTCAAGTCTATGCGAGAGCATTCTTGGTTTACAATGAGGTTGCTTGGATGCCTAGCTCATCCCAACCGAATGGCTATTATTATTTTTTTCATTGACAAGTAACTCGCACCCCATTTGTCCCTATCAGAACTCGAACGCACACCATCCCTTTGCTAGGTAGAGGAAATATCATAACTACAACTATTGCATATATAACAATATAGGTTTTACCCACAGTAGTAAAAACAATCTAAATTACAGTTGGCAATAGAGATCCAGACCAGACAATGAAGTCTTTACCCTTTTTGCAATTTTTTTTTCCCAAAGGGGTGAAAACAATCTGAATTGCAATTGCGAACAGATATCTCAAGCACATAATAACCCCTTATTTGCAAGGATACACCAGTAAATGGAGTCAGATGTCTCAAACACATAATGACCCTTATTTGCAAGGATACACAAGTAAATGGAGTGTGAAATTTGTGGCAGATGGCTCTAATAAGAGTTCCATATATCTAACAAGTAGCATAAGACGCACCAAACATGCAAGAACTATTCACGGGCTACACGTATGACCTGCTTACCGATATTTTTCCCAGAAAATAGCCCAACAAAGGCAGCCGGAGCACTTTCCAAACCTTCATTCATGTCTTCAATGTAAACAATCTTCCCTTGCTTGTACAAACTAATAACTTCTTCCAGAAAGCGTGGAAATAGATGCAAGTAATCACTCTGAAGGAAGCCCTGCATCCTTATGCGCTTTACTACGAGATTGAACAAGTTGTGAACCCCATGGGGATCATACCTGCCTTGCTGGGAAACCATACCACAAACTGCAATCCGGCCATGAATCCTCATGTTGACAAGGGCTGCATCAAGCATGGCTCCTCCTACATTGTCAAAGTAAATGTCAATGCCTTCGGGAAAGTACCTGTTTAGTGAACAAGAAATTAGTCAGCAAGAAGATTGAGGTAGACTATCATCTGCAAAACTAGGGATACAGACTAAACACAACCTCTCAAAGAGTATAACATTCAATATCAAAATAGAGACATGAAAAATGGTGGCCAATAATCCAACGAAATAAATATTACACAGGCATGAGAAGAAGAGGGGTAACAGAAGCATCCTTTCATATGGATTGTCTTGAATCTGATAAATAGATTCCTGCATGAAATAGTTTCCTTCTTGTCTAAGTTGGGACAAGGAAATGGTTTTAGTCAAGTCCCTTGTGATGTCTTGATCTCACCTCTCAAATAGAACATCTAAGGTTTGTGTGGTATCAAAAAGGGGAAAAAGAAAAAACAATTTGAAAAGGGAGGCGATATAAGCACTCCATTTTTAAACAAATGCACTCCCCTTTTTGTTTTTTCTTTTAAGTAAATGACAAAAGTGTCCCTAATCTAACTAATGTTTGATTCTCTTATTGGTGAAGTTAGGGACAATAATATAATTTTCTTTAAAAGAGGAGTGCAGATGTTGACTCACTTAAAAAAAGGCATCCTTCTTCACATATAATTTATTATGTGCATATATAAAGCAGATTTTCTCGATTGAAAAAAAAAAAAAATCAAAACTGCAATTTCAATAGGATATAAATTAACAAGCACTTGATTACTAGTCACTGGTCACCCAAAAAACAAATGGTGGAAAGCAATCAATTATGCTTTTCATGACAACTGGAAAGAATCAATATAACTTTGAACAGAATACTGAAACTTCAGTAGGATATAAATTAACAAGCACTCGATTACTAGTCCCTGGTCACCCAAAAAAAAAAAAATTGGTGGAAAGTAATCAATTATGCTTTTCATGACAATTGGAAAGAATCAATATTAACTTTGTAAAAGGCATTTTTTGTTATTCAACCTAAAACCTTAAACCATTGTAGACCTTACAAGCCTTTATCCAACACCCAAAACCTTAATATAGACAGTTAGACACTATCCATAATTTTCAACAACCTAAATTCTGAAATCCTGCAACATGTTACCTTTAAAACAAGAATACCACAACATTTCCCCTTATACAAAGCCTACAATCATTCTAATACCTTTCATAGCCCTAAGCCTACTATGTTCATCAACATAAGCCAATTAATCACAATCCTCCGTGGTATCACTCTCAATTTTAAGGCGATGTGCCAATGTCTTCCCTCATTTTGGTAATAGAGCTTAGGGAACTGCTTCTTCACACTTGTCATGAGATAGTTTTTACAAGTCTAAATAATTAAAGCAAGTAGTAAAGATAGTTGGGTCTTCCTAGAATTAATCATTGGAGGAAGATAAGAATTGTCTACTACTTGTACCTCTCTATCTTTGAACAGCCAAAATTAAGAATTTAACCAACAATTATTAAAGCCCAAACACACACACATGCACACCTCTCAGTCTCTCTAATTAATATGTGTATTATATGTATATTATCCCTTATAATTTCCATTTGTTCTATAGTGAATTGTCAATGAATTTTGACAGTTACATTAAAATATCTAAAGATAAAATTTTAAAATTCAGTGAACAGGTAAACTTGGAAAAAGGGAGAAGAAATGAAATCTTATAAGCTCCCCGTCAGCTCTTTCCATCAGGAAGGGTACTGAAAGAGCTTAAATGGCCCACAAACATAAGTTCCATTCAACTAATCTTTAAACTAGCAAGCTGACTATCAGAAACTGATACAAACTAGATATCTTTGTGCAGTGAATTCTGTTAAGAGCATTTTAAAATCATAAATTTGACTCTCTATTTTAAATTTTTTTTTCAGTTATGTTTAACATGATTTGATGATGGCTCTGTTACTATTTTTATTGTTTCATTTATTGTATTAATATCACAAATAAACATTGCACCTAAACCCAAAAAATGAGGCCTCCACCATCTCTTTGGTGAACTCTTTTTCCTCTCAATTATGTTTTTCTCTTATATATATGTCACTACTTTACGTGGTTTTGGACAATAAGACAGACTTGGTTATGTAATCTTCCTATACACGTCTGAAAGGCAGCATAGGAAGTATTGACGTCAGGACCACGCGATCTACATGTGACTCTCAATCTCACAACCAACTTCTTTCTTTAACCAAATTTATTTATTTCATTTCACAATATTACAATTGCATGTGTACTTAGTGTAATAATTTATTTTACTGGTGTAGAAGTTATAGTCCTCATAATTTTTCTTCTTAAATTAATATCCCTAAATAGTCTTTTGAGATCCTAAAAGGAAATAACATACATAATAAATAAAGATTAATACATATATACAAATATTCTATAACAAATTCTACCAGAGTTACTCATGGATATTGCTCCTACAATTGATTCTTTAACCTTAGTTTCATTTCGTATCTCATTATCATCATTCCATGTCTTATAAGCTGCTGGTAAGCCAAATTTATCATGTGGAAATACTTGATTAAAAAATAAATTATCTAATATACTGAATTGAATGATGAGTCCACAAGGGCACTGAAATTGGACTAACAACATCAATCAAACTTTACTCACCTTTTTAAAGCTATGTCGAGGTCTGGCTCTTCTTTGTAGTTCAAAGCTTCATCAAACCCAAGTTTATTCTTCAAAAGATCCACCTAATATGTCCCATTCAAATTATTTTGCTAGTCAATGCAGATAGAAATCAATGACTGAACAGATTGTATCACTTGGAGAAGGTCATCACTTAAATAAGCCTTGTAAGAACTTTATAGAGACAGTGGTACTTTATAAATTTGTTAAAATAAACTTACTTTCTGGTTTGTGCCAGCACTTCCAACTACATAGCATCCATGTAACTTGGCAAGTTGGCCTACAAGCTGACCAACTGCTCCAGAGGCAGCGGAAACAAAAACATTTTCTCCTTTTTTAGGGGTGCAAACCTCAAAAAAACCAGCATATGCAGTAAAACCTGGCATACCTGCATCATTAAATCATGTATTTGTGGCTCAAAAAACTAATGCTTGGGATATGTGAAACTATATTCACCAAAAAGAGACAAAAATTGTCTTTCAGATCAACAAGAAAACAAATTTATGCATAATATGTTTAGGTTCTTTCTATTCAACTCCAAAATTGGCTGGAAAGTGAGTGAAAAGGGTCAACGAAGTTGCTGGTTTTTTAGTTCAGTGGAAAGCACCATGACTAGGTAGAGGAAAGCAATAATAAGGATAGAAGGCTGACTGCAAGAAATTCTACAAGGACCCCCAAGATTTCTAAGAAGAGGAATCGGAGTAAGACCTAAATTGGGACAATTTTTGTACAAAGTGACCACATTTAGATTTTAGACTCAAATCGACATTCTCACACTTGCCAATCCCACTTTTTACCACTTCACCAAGTAATGGCCGCTGCCAACTGAAGTCATATTTAATTTTTTTAAAGCTCTGGCCAGCAAAATTTGCCAATTCAAAATTCAACTAAATTCTGATGGTATAATAACAATGGCATTTCATATTGCTAGGAAATGAGGAGAAGGTTGATAAGGCCAACTAGCATATGGTCGAAACAAAGTTTTAAGGATGAATTGAGTAGTAGAAGTGGTCTATCATTGAGGGTGAGCCTTGGCACAATGGTAAGGTTGCTCCATTGTGACCTTGAGTTCAGGGGATTGAAATGGGAAACACTCTCTTCGCATGTAGAGATACTGCATACATATGATCCTCCCCAAACCCCGCAATGGCGGGAGCCTCATGCACTAGGCTAATCCTAGTTTTTTAAGTGGTCTATAATTCATGAGCTCCTCCTATTAAGAATGACTTGTAAAATATCAAGAACACAGATGATGGTCTTATTTAATCATTCTGATTGATGCAATGACTTTCTTCTGTTCAATGGGGAATTTTTTCAGAAAATATAGAAGTTTAGATGGTGAGGAAATTGGGACAACAAATGACTAGATTATTAGGGTTTATAGAAGGACGTAGTCAAATAATGGACCTTTCAGGGGATATAAAAATATATTTTTTCTTTAATAACTTCTAAAAATTTAGAATAATATTTCATGCTGGCAATTACTAGGCTTGCATAGCACCTCTTTAGGCTCAACAGGATCCTTAGTTAAAAAACCTTGGATGCATGTTTAATGTTAAAAAACAAAATGGAAGGAGTTTCTACAACACTACAGAAAAGCAAGGGAGATAAAGAATTGATAATATGTAAAAACAAAAACGTTGGCTAGAAAAAACAAAAGAAATCAGAACAAAACAAGTTGCATTGATCAAAGATCATATTTTTCCTACTCAACTAAACAAAAGTTGAATACATAAATTCACTCGCAAGCAAAATTCAAGAAATCAAAAGGCGATATGCAATGGAAGCCTCTTCTTTAAAGGGGAAAAAAAAAAGGTTTTCAGGAGCTAAATAGAAAGTCCAAGCCACAAAATACAAAGGAGCTACCCTCACTACACCAAACACCCCCCAAACCCCCACACAAAAAGGGAACAAGGCATATCGGATTTGGACAGTATAGAAGGTCTTCAGATTCTCGTAAAGCATAAAGCATAAATCACCATATCTGCTGTTTCTTTTTCTCCATCTCATACAAGAAATCCTTCAAGGAATAACAAGCACAAAGTGAAACAGATGGACTAAGCCCTCAGTTCACACAACTCATATACTGAAGTGCAGTTGTAAGAGATATAAAGTTACTGAACTAGAAAGTTATCATACCGAGAAGACCAACATAGTATGAGAGGGGGATATCATCTGGCTGAATTTTCCTCAACTTTTCAGTTTTCTGAATCAAGCTGTATTCTTCCCAACCCATCAACCCTGCAATCAGATCACCAGGCTTGAAATCCGGGTTATCAGAATCCACAACTCTGGACACACTGAATCCTTGGATGACCTTCACCAAATAGTTCAGCAGTCAAGCAATTAGTAGAGATTCGCATTGACATTGCTATCTACATGAAATTTTCCAATAGTAAAAGTGACAATTCCAGTATTTATACAAATACCGACATCCAAAATTACTTATTAAAGCTAGTGCTGGGAAAAAAATATCAAACTGGAACCCATTTCCAATTTGGTGGCATTGGCAAGCTAAAAGTAGCTTAAAGTTGAAAATCAGGCAGAAGTTCCACAAAAACGAAATGGGTTCGTCACGAAACGCAAAAATTGAATTGAAGATGTAAAATGCATGATCTAAATGGGGCCTTTGGAGATATGGAAGTCATGACCATAACTTATAGTCCCAATTCTACTAAACTCAACTTAGTCAAGCATTTTCCCAACTACTTGGAGTGCATATACAATTACATATACATGAATTACATATACAAAATTACACAAATACACACACAAAGAGGGTTAATTACCGAACCAGGAGTGAAAGGAGGAATGTAGGAGTCGTAGTTTTCGCGCATACGGCCACGCATGTAAGGATCGCAAGAAAGGTAGAGGTTCTTGACCAATAACGAGCCAGAACCCTTTGGAGCCTTGAGCTTAATCTTGTTGCCAAGCTTCAATTCCATGTCTGTCTCCGTTGGAGTTGTCTCTATGAATCCCTTGAAGATGATTTGCTTGTTCTCTACCTCTGTTCTTGCTTCTCCTCCTCCTACTTCCATTTTCTTCTGATATCTTAATCACAATCAAAATGTATATATATAACCCAGCATAAATTGATCCGTTCGATTTCAAGAGAAGTTACCAACAAAATGGACACGAAAAAACTTCGCTGTGTGTAAGATACTAACGTGTACGAGTTGTCGGAAAATGGGAGACTGCAAATAAAAATTGCTATACACAACTCGATTTGGTAGATTTTGTTTGGCCAGAGATTCATTTAATAAAAACTACTCCTCACGTGGCATTAGGGTTCATCCCACGTGGTTGTTCTGCAACCTCCCATTTTCTGACGGCTCGTACACATAAATATCTTACACTCAACGAAAGTTTTTTCGTGTCCATCTTGTAGAATGAAATTGATTCTACCATTTAGTGAAAATTGCTCTACACAACCCTCCTCTTTTTTTTTTTTTTTTTGGGCAAAGAAGAGAACAACGGAAAACAAGAACACCACCACCAAACTAAGGAACAAGACTCAGAACATCATCCTTAGCCAAAGCCAAGATCCCACACGAAATTTGGAAAGTCTTGAGGTCTTGCTTTTGAATGGTACACAGGGGCGTAGCCAAAAATTTTTTTCAGTGGGGGGCAATATTTAACAGCAATAATATATATATATATATATATATATATATATATATTATGTGAATATATTATTTGAACCAAAATAATATATGTAAAAATTAAACAGTACTAAATATTTCAAAATATTTTTTATATTTTTTATATTCTGAAAGCACGCAGTCGAGTTTTAAAAATGTTCGTGGCATAATAATAGTATAAAAAATTATATATCAGATTACCTATCTCCCACTATTTGTTTAGATTTTGTAAATTTTTAAAAATTAACAACGCATTTGTTTGTGGTAAAGTCAAAAATTAAAAAGAATATCTTATTTTTTTTGGAAAAAGTGTGAAAGAATATAATATTTTAAAAAAATGAAAAAAAATATCATATTTTTTACAAAAGATTATATTCCTTTAATATAATATTTTTATATTTTAAGAATATAAAAATATTTCTATATAAAATTTTAAAAAAATTAAAAAAATTTAAAATTCAGTGAAGGCAGTTGCCCCATTTGTCCTTATATGGCTATACCACTGATGCTACGTATTTTATGAAGCAGATATACATAAAATATATATATATATATATATATATATATATATATATATAATTTACTATTTCACTGTACACTTTATTATTTTTAATTTATTTATTAAAATAACTTTTGCATCTATGGAGATTGGGATAGACGATAGTGTGTGGGGCCAGCGACGTGGCTCTCAGCTCCTCACCCGCACCAGCCTCTTCCTCTTTATTTATTCTCAAATGATCTATTTCCTCTGGAACTGGATGCTTTTACATAAATACTATATCTTAAAAAGAATGTTCATTTCTTTTTGAATTGTCTTAAAATAATTGTTCAGTCACTTTTTCAAATAATATATTTTATATCATTGTAGTTTAAAATATCTATTCTCTTAAAAAGATATTTTTTTTGAGACAAAGGAGTAGTAAAATATTCACATGTTATATAAATTGAGATTTTTTGAAAAGTTGTTACCTATAAACATGTTTTGAAAATTATAAGAGAATAATATGTACTCATCAAGGTAAATGATAAATTTGCACAACTATTCCGTGGTGATCGTGTTTATGGAATTAAAGTTTTGAAATTAAAATTTGTATAATTTGAATTTTCTTCAATTTTATAAATTTCAATTTTAAGGTTCTAATTTCACTAAACACAGCTTTTGTGTAATTGAGTTTCTATCAAAATTGTGCTCCGCTGTGTGAAATTAATGTCTTAAAATTAAAATAATTTTCCTTAAATACTAAATTTTCATAAAATAAAAATAAAATAAAATAAAATAAAATAAAATAAAAAGAAAAACTTACTTTAAAATGTTTGACTAGAAATTTTGAATGTCAAACTCTCAGTAAAATTATTTCTCAATAATATGTTTTCACTAGAAATTTTTGGCCACACCTCTAACTTTTACATGAAAACTTTTCTAAAGCCGGTGGTTGAAGTGCTAGGTGCTTTAGGAATTGTTGTTATAGGTGTTAATCTTTGGCAGCAGTGACAACTGGGTTCATGGCAGCAACCGGTCTATTACCCAGTTAATTTCTCCTACGTTTGAATTCATGAACTGTTCAAGTTTTGTGGCAAATGGGTCACAATGGGGTCCACCCCATCAAATATAATGTCTGTCCATGTAGTGCATCAAGTAAGAAATTAATTTCCTTTTTCGTTTTTGAAATGTTGAAATTTCTTAAGGAAATTATGTCTTTCTATTTTAAAGTTGTCATTGTTAAAGAAAATTGTTGGGTTTGCTGTTGAAAATTGTGTATAGAAATAAATTTCCTTTTTCGTTTTGAAATGTTAAATTTTTTTAAGGAAATTATATCTCATTAAGTTTCTATTTTAGAGTTGAAATTGATATGATAACTCCTTGTATGCAAGTTAGGAATATTTATCCAATAAAAAATTGAGTTTTGAAGACTCTATAAAAAGAGATGGGTGTGAGGGGTTTAGAGAGAGAGAGAACAGAAAGAAAAGATGTAAAGAGTTTAAGGGTGAGTGTTGTGAAAAAATGGGAGAGTATATATAAGTGAATGTGTGGGTTTTTTTGACATTATTCTCTTTCTTTATTCGTAATAGTGAAATATCTTTCTCTCATGGACGTAACCTTAGAGTTGGGTGAATCATGTAAAATATTGTGTTGTGTTTTAATGTGTATGATTGTTATCTCCATATATGCTTGTATTGATATGATGTGATGATGCTTCTGCTATGTATGATGAATAAGAGATTTAACTCTCAACAACAGCCGACCGTTGAGGGGTTGAAGGGAGTTAATTATCCACATCTGGCTATACAGTAAATATAATTAAAAATTGAGTGGAAGTATTTTGAAGATGTTAACAAATGTTGCCCAAGTATAGTCTCTAGAGGGGATGAATAGAGTCTTTGGCAAATAATGGTCAATTTTTAGTTTTGCAAATTCTACTATACCCTTCTAACAATTATGCAATAATCAAGATATAAACATAAACAATTAATAGTATAAATATAAAGGAGATAAGGGAAGAGAGATTATAAACATTCACAAGGCGATTTTAGCGAGGTTCGGAAACTCCTACTCCTCGGTTTAAGACCCCTCTTGAGACTTCCCAATCCACTAGTGCACCTCCTTACGGGTGGACAACAAACATTTACATGAAGCAACACCTTGCTTCACCTTGCTAAGAGACAACCTCTCTTAATCTTCCTTTGGTTCACACCAACCCCTACAAATTGAAGCTACCTTACTTCTTCTTCCTTAGGCCACACATGCCCTTACAAATGTTTGAAGATCAGAATTTCAGTACAAAATAATCTCTCACATATTTGAAGTACAACTTTTAGCTCACAACTAGAGTATATATGAATATATTGAAGCTCAATACTCTATGAATGATGTGGGATGTATAAGTACAAGAACAAATGCTCTTTGAATTCTATATGATGTTTCTCTATAGTAGCAACCCTTAATCCCGAAGTCCCCAGCTCTATTAATAGAGTTTTGATGCAGCTAATTCAAAAATATAGCTGTTGTGCTCGGAATTCAAGGCAAAAGAGCCATTCAGATTCAAATTAGACTTACATCAGTCGTCCGAAATGACTGAGGTCTTTATTTCGGTCGTCCGAAATAACCTGAGGTATGTTTGACTGCTTCATTTCGGTCGACCGGTTGTGATCCCAAACTTAGCATGGCTACTGCCCAAATCGGTGGGCCGATTCAGATTGCCTCTCTATTTCAGTCGGCCGAAATGGATTGCTTCAGAAAAACTGCTTCTTCAGAAAAATGTTCTAAGACAACAGATGACAGTTTTTCTACAACATACCTTATTTTTATTCTAAATATTTAAGTAAATGTCTTTACAGTATTTATATGTCTATTTACTTTAAGTTTACAATGTAAATAAGGAAGTACCCCAATTTGAATTCAATAAAAAATACTAGAAAATTGAAATCCAACTAAATCAAAATGTAAAAATTTAATTTTAGTACAAATTTGAATTTTCGACAGTTTTGTAAAAATGAATCGTTATGTAGACCAATGTAGAATTGATCAAAAATTCTGATAAAATCAATTTAGGCCATTTGAAGTGTAAGGAGTTATTATTGGGAAAAATTATTTTGAAATAATCATTATTTCAAAATTTCATTTTTCACACTTAGCCAAAAATACAGTTTTTCATGACGCGCATTTTGGGGTCCTAATGTCCGTTACCAACTCATGGTAATGAAGGCTTCTCATGCCTTAATTGTTGACCAATATGAATTATATGATTGATGTACATAATCTTAACATTTCTAGCACAAGTGATGAGTTCTTTCAAAGTTTATGCAATCTTGAACTAATTCACTCTTTAGCAATGACTTCATGCGCAATTATATATGAATGAAGTGCATAGTCTATTGCTAATATATATAGGAACATATAAATGATGATATAATATGCATGGTCCTACAGAGATGAGTTTCAAATGGATTAATAAATACTTTGACATTGAATCCTAAATACTCACCATCCTATCTACTCCTTTCTCACGCTTTGTCTATGATCGTGTAGGCTTTCAGGTAGACTTATTTTTTTCCTTTCTTTGAGTTGTTTTCTTGCTCGTTGTAGTCCAAACTATCTTTGATGGACTTTGCATTTGGTTCCTTGCAACTTCATGTTCCTTTGTCTCACTTGCTTTCCATAGATGTGATCTTGAGTAATGGAATACTTGGAATGATCATTATAGTTTCATTGAGGTCATTCTTTGAATGTGAATAATCTATATAACACTCAATGAAACATTATTCCTTTAACACCATTAATGGTTTGTTATCATCAAAACCTTTAGATTGTCCTTGAATGAAATCTTAAGGTCAACAATCTCCTCCTTTTTGATAATGACAAAATATTGATGTGTTCATAAGTAAGTGGAGTGGCATTTGAAAAATGCCCCTTATCAAAGTGTATACATTAAACATAATGTCATACATAGCATGCTTGATATATCATTAGTCATTTTAATCATCAACATGCATTTAAGATCATTTTACTCTTCAAGAGATTTCTAAAAATCTCCCCTTATCAACATGCTTCTATCAAAAGATATTATAACATAATAGAATATAACATGAAGCATTTAATTCAACAACTAAAGGCATCTTCCCCCTTGATATGAAATAACATAGCATTTCACACGTCACACTTTTCTCCCCTTTTGTCATCTCAAAAAGGTGGAAGGCCTAGATAACTTCATTTAGCATAGATCATTTAACATAATGAAGTATTGATTATCATGAAATGACAATATA